CCAGGCCCAGGACCCGCACTTGCTGGTGGGTGCCCCGCCCCCACCCAGCTCCGGGACCCTGAGCTGGTGGGGTCAGCCCTCTGGGCCTCAGTTTACCCAGTTGCACCTAGGGTGGTGGCCTCGCAGGGTATGGGGAGGACACAGAGCCCTTGGCTGGGGGCCAGCCCAGGCACTGCCCCCGATGGACAGGCCCGGGCCTCAGTGGGGCCAGCTGGGCTGAGCACGCACTGGGCACCTGGGCACTGGGCACCTGGGCACTGGGCTCGGCCCCTGGGCAGCCACCTCTCCCCAAGCCCTGGCTCCGCACCATGAGATGGGCGGACCCTGCCACTCAGCTGAGGGGACAAAGGGGCTGAGGAAGCGCAGTTGGGGCGGGGACACATGGGGGCCAGGTGACACCGGAGGGACCTTCGCAGGACCACCGGGGTCCCCAGGCTGAGCACTTCCCAATGGTAAGAGACGGATGTTGCCCCGCAAGCCGGGGCCTCCCCCGGCCCCTCCGCAGCCCACCGCCCTTCTCGCACTAGTGCGTTTGCCGTGCCCGAAACTAAAGGGACGAGGCTCGCTCTGAACTCGGAAATCGGGCCTGTGACTGGCCGGCTGTGTGTGCGTGTGGACATGTGTGTGTGTGCGCGCGTGAGCCGCCCAGCCCCCCCTCATCGCCCAGGGACGTGGGGGCCCGTCCTTCTGCCCCGGGACTGGCCACTGCCGGGGACCCGGCTGCAGACGGTGCGGTTCCCTGGCTGGGGGCGGGCGGGGCGGCCGCGGTCCTGACCCCCCTGTGTCCCTCTCAGGTCGTCCAGGGCCTGGTCGTCGGGCGGCTGAGCAGCCACTTCTCGGAGGCAGCGTTGCTCCGGGCCAGCGTGCTGGTCTTCGTCCTGGTGGGCCTGGCCATGGTGAGAGCGCCCCCCCCCGAGGCTGGACCCCACCCCCACCCGGGGCCCCCCTAACGGGGCCTCAGGGAAGGGCCCTCCTGCCGTCTCCTCCCGGAGGCCCCCAGTCACCGTGGCCCCTGCCCTGTCCCTCTCCAGGCGCTGATGTCCAGCGTCTTCCACTTCTGTCTCCTGATGCCCGGCCTGGTCTTCAGCCTCTGCACCCTCAACGTGGTCACGGACAGCATCCTGACCAAGGCGGTCTCGGCCTCGGACACGGGTGAGCGCAGCGTCCGCAGCCGGGGCCCTGTGAGGGGCGGCCCGCCGAGGCCCCCAGCCCTCCTCCCGGGGCAGCTTGCTGGCAGCTTCCCGCGGCACGGCTGTCTGGTTTGGGGCCCGGTCTGCCTGACCCCCGGGCACTGCAGCCTGGTCTGAGTGAGCAGGGTGTGTGGGGCGGGCCGCGAGAGGGCTCCGGTGAGAATGTGGCCACCGACCGGCCCAGCTGGGCCCAGCCGGCCCTGCACCCGGCCCTGCAGACCAGTCCGGCGCCGGACCTGGGGGCCAGGAGAAGGCTTCCGGAGGCCGTGTCTGGCTCGGCTCTAAAGCCCGGGCTGGGTCTCACCAGAAAGGAGGAGGGAGAGACGGCCTTCCAGGTTGGCCCCAGCAAGGCAAAGGAGTGGAGGCGATCGTGGGTCTGAAAGGCTCTCGCAGAAGCCGGTTAGGAAGAAAGCCCAGTGGGCGGGGCATGGGGCGGGGCACCCAGAGGGGGCGGGCTTCCTGTCAGGCCAGAGCCTGGTGGGTCTTCTCTTCCCTCCCAGACCGGCACCCAGAAGCTCGTTGGGGCCTCCTGGGTGGGCAGGCGAGTGCACGCACACAGCTAGTTACGTCTAGGATGCCCCAGACCTCCGGGGGGACACGGGGGTCCCTGGGCCGACAGTGTCCGGGCTCCAGTGCCCGCCCTCTCCCAGGCACGGCGCAGACCCGTGCGGGGCTCCCACAGGCGCCTGTGGAGGCCTCCTTGGCAGCAGGGTGAGTGAGTCCAGGGGCTGGCCGGCCCTCGGCCCACTCACCCGTCTGTCGGGCAGGGGCTGATGGAGGTCAGGTGGCCGAGGAATGCCGGGCCTCTTCTCGGGGCAGCCTTGGGAGCCTCCAAAGCCTCTCAGACTGTGGCTCTGGGGCCCTGGGAGGCCAGGCTGGGCCCAGAAGCCTTCCGGGAGGGGGTGGGCCGGCACTTTGGAGAGGCCTGGAGGAACTGGCCCGGAGCATGAGGGCAGGGCCTGGCCTCCTGGTTCCAGGGCCCCGCCTTCCGCCCGGAAGGAGCCGGGGGCTGGTTCCCAGCGCCGGCCTGGGAACCTCGACAACAGAGGGGGCGGTAAATTGCTCCCCGGTGTCCGTGGGTGATGGGAGAGGCTGCTCCTTGGTTTCCCCCAGGGCCCGAGCTGGGGCGGGGCCTCGCCAGGCGGCTGCCACCTCACCCAGCCGGGCTGTCCAGCTGCGGAGGCCTGGGCTCCCACCCTGCTGGCCTAGGGCCGGCAGCCAGCACCAGGCACAGCGGGCAGAGCGGCGTGGAGACGGGGGTCAGGGAGCTGGGTGTGCAAGCCGCTGGACCTGGGGCGTGGGGCCACAGGCAGGGGGCCCCTGTTAAGACCCCGAAGGCCTTCCCAGCCCTGAGAGGTGCATCTCCTCCTGTTCCTGGGAGGTTGGGAGGGCCGTGGGGGGACACTGGGGACATCACGGCCTACTTTGCACCCCAGCCCCAACCCTCACCCGGTGGGTCACCTGCAGCCGCCAGGCCCACCTCCCCAGTGTCTGTCCGCCAGCTCCCTAGTGGCCAGGCCTGTGACGGTGCCCAGTCCCGGCCCTCCTGTGCCAGGGAACCTCCTGGGGCGGGGCGCAAGTGTCCATGGGGCCCCTTCATGGCTGAGTGGTCCACGGGGAGCAGTCCCGCAGGCCCTGGGGGAGGACGGGGAGGACAGGGGAGGTCTCTGCCACATCCTGGAAGTGGGCAGCCAGCGGGGTGACGCTGAGGGACCCTCCTAGGCCTGACTCACGCCCCCCCCCCGCCCCCTCTGCTCCACAGGGACCATGCTGGGCCTCTGCGCCACCGTGCAGCCGCTGACCCGCACCCTGGGGCCCACTGTGGGCGGCCTCCTGTACCGCAGCTTCGGCGTCTCCGTCTTTGGCCACGTGCAGTTTGCCGTCAACTTCCTCGTCCTCCTGGTCCTCTGGCGGCAGCCTCTGCCCCACAAGACGGACAAAGTCTGGTGACCTTGGCCCCTGGGCACGGACTGGCAATAAATTCCCAGCATCTCTTCCGGTCTCCTTTCTACAGGGGGCCGTCAGGCCGGCCCGCAGCTGGCTGGGCAGGAGGCCTCTCCGCCGGAGATGGAGCCTGGGATGCGGGAGGGCTTCCTGGAGGAAGGGGCTGCCGCTGGGCCCCAGGGCTCTGGGGAGGGCAGAGTCACCCCAGTTCGTCCTAGCAAGAAGCGGGCCCTGCCCCTGCAGGCCATCAGCACGCCGGTGGGAGGTCCCCCATGCTGCCTCCCAGGCTGCTCTGCTCAGGCCCCCCGGGACAGGACCCCTCTGCCGCCCCCCACGGTCCTGTTTGGGTGCCACCCTGGAGCCTCCGGCGGAGCCCACTGCCCACAGGCCCTCAAAAGTTGTTCCTGTTCACGAAAGGAAATGTTTTCTAATTTTTTAATTCGATGAGAGAGAGAGAGAGGCATTGGTTTTGTCCTCCCACTCACGGATGCATCATGGGTACGCGCCCTGACTGGGGGTTCAGCCCGAAACCTTGGTGTGTGGGGTCAGTGTTCTAACCCACTGAGCCCCCCGGCCAGGGCCGTGGGTGTTTCTCCCCTCATCTGTGCCCAGGGGGTGGACCCAGACGGCCAGGCCGGAGAACTGGGGCACACCGTCCGCCCCCCGACGCCCCTACCTGGCTCTCTGGAGAAGGGGCACTGGGCACGGGGGGCCGGCAGCCACTGTGACCGACGGCCGGTGTGGAAAGAACCGCCGTCACGGGCCTGCAGCGCCCCCAAGGCAGCGAAGGCCGCCCTCCCCAAGGGGATTGTGGCAGGAAACCGAGCTCAGAGGAGGGGCCTGCGACGGCCAGAGTGCCCCTCCTGCCGGACCCCGGGGGCAGACTCTCACCCCCGGCCCTGGTCATCCGTCCAGTGAGCGGGAGAGGTCTCCCAGGTGGGGCAGCGTGGGGTCTGCCCTGGGGCCGGGGGTCCCTCCCCAGGGGCACAGGAGCTTTCTGACTGGCTCTTCGGGAGACGGTGCCCGGCACGGGGCAGCTCCTTCTCTGGACCCCCGGCCCCCGGCCCCCCGGTGAAGGGGCGGCCACGGGCGCGTCTGACCCCGGAGCCCAGCTCCGAGGCCTGTGGCGGCTGCCCCTCCCCAGGGTCAGGGCGAGCGGCCAGCTCTGGCGCCCAGTGTTGGCCCCTCACTCCCCTCCTCACCGCCTCCCCTCCCAGCCGGGCCCTGCCCCCTGTTTGACAGTCCCCAGTCCCCCTCGGCCTGCTCCTCGCCCACACAGCTTCGGGGTGGAGGGGCCCTCCCCGAGCCCGCCCTGCGGGGCAGCCCCGGACACGCACTGTCTCTGTCCGCCCCACCCCGGGCAGCGGGGCAGGAAGTGCCACCTTGTCAGACACCTCGGGCCTCCCCACCCCAGTGTCACAGTCCGCGGCTGCTCACCTCCAGGGCCTCGGCCAGCGGGGCCTGGGAGCGGGATCCCCCGGGCTGGATGCGGCCCAGCCTGGGCTGGGGTCAGGTGGGCGCGGGTGCCAGAGGGCAGTGGCATGTGGATGGGAGGGGGCAGCCAGAGGGGAGGTGCGCGCTGACCTCCAGGGGACCCTTGGTGAATGAATGACCCCCCACCCGGAGTAGGATCAAGCACGGCCAGCAGCCCCGCCACCCCACTCACGCTGGGGCGGAAGTTAGCCAGGCCCAGGCCCAAGTACTTCCTGCCTGGGGAGAGGCTGCTCGGTAGGGAGGGTGCCAGCCAGCCACCCACTCATCCCGGCACTCCCCTGCCCTTCAGACTGACCCCGTGCCCCAGTGCACGCTGGCCCTCGGCCCTTGACCCCGCCATTCCCAGGAACACCACCACACCACGCGGGCAGGTAGAAAAAACAGGTCCAGTAGTTTATTCGGAATGGCAGGTGCAAAAACAAAATATTAAGACATACAGTTTGACAAAAAATAACCATCAAAATAAATACATAGATAATCCAATAATTTAACTCGCCCGCGCAGCGGGCAGGGCACAGCGGCTCCGCAAGGGAAGGTCCCCTTCGGGGCTGGGACGCAGCCCCAGCCTCATTCCTCGAGGCGGTCCGCGGAGGGGGTGGGGGTTCCGGCCATCCCGCGCACCTCCTGGGCTCCTGCCGGCAGCGCGGCCGGCCCGACTCGTCCAGTGTGGGGCTCCTGTGGGCAGAGGAGGGGTCAGGGAGCTGTGCCGGGGCGGGGCGGGCTGCGGTCCCTACTGCGCTTCCCCTGGGGGCCCAGACACGGCAGGTGCCAGCGACGGCTCTTGACGCGTGCCCCCGGTCCCCTTTCCAAAGTGTCCCCCCTGCCCTCGAGGGGCGGGACCTCCCTCCCCACCGCCGTCTGCAGACCGGGGATGGCAGGGGGCGCTCACCGAGGCGGGCTCAGGGCGCACGGGCTGCCAGGGGCTCCGGGGCGGCGGCGGGCGCGGCGAGCTCCCGGCGGCTGCGGACGTCCTGCAGGGCGCGGCGGTTCTGGAAGTCGATGAGCGCCAGCGTGATGGCCGCGTTCCAGCAGCTCTCGCCCGGGCAGCGGAAGTCGATCTCCTTGCGGTCGGTGGTGACGATGGTGAAGTAGACGTACTTGCCCGTCCGCTCCACGCAGTCCACCTTGAGGATGGAGTGGAAGCGCAGCTCCTTGGGGCGCGCGCCGGGGCCGGCGGGGAAGAGGCTCAGGCAGTCCGGGGTGAGCACGCCCCGCTTCTTCTTCCACAGCTGGAAGAGGCTGTCGCTGCGCTTCTCCAGCTCGCCCTCGCGCAGCACCTCGCCCGGGGTCTTCATGTCGGGGGAGCGGGGAGCAGGCCGTGCGCTCGGACGGGGGCGAGGAGAGCAATGCGTCGCAGCTGGTCGGGAGCTGGCTTTATAGCGGCCCCGCCCCGCCCCGCCCCGCCCCACGCGCCCGGCCCCGCCCCACTCGGGCACGCCCCCTCAACATCACGCCCCGGATCTGCCTCGGCGCCCGGTTCCCCCGCGCCCACCCGTCCCCGCAGCCTCCTCACCCCGGCTGCCCGCCGCATCCCCACCCGCGGTCGCCCCCTCCTTCGTGTCTGCAACTCACGAAGTTGCCTCCTGGGCTCCGGCATCCCAGGGCCCCAGACCCACGGGATGACACGCGGTCCCCACCCCGCCCCTGACGCCGATCCCGAGGAGGAACGTCCGGCCCTGCCCAGGGTGACTCACCGCCCGGGAGCCTCGGGAAGCGCCGGCAGCCGGGGCTGGCCCAGGGCCGGGAACTGACGGTGCCCAGACCCCCACCCCCCAGGTGCCCTGACTCCGAGGTCTGCCCCGCCAGCACTCTTGGGGCAGAAGAGGGCCGTGGCCCCCCACCCCGGTTCCCCCACACCCTGGGGCCCTTCCCGAGGAGACCTTCCAGTGTTCCTACAACAGGCCTTGCGGCCCCCAGCTCCCCCCCCGCCCCGCAGGCCTGGCCCACCCGGAGTGAGTGTTCTGACCCCCACTTTTCTTGTCTGCGGGGGTGCAGACAGGGACGCTTTCTTAGATTGGAAACACCTGGAAAGTGCTAGGACAGATCCACGTGGCGATCATCAAACGTGAGGCGTGGAGGCCGCCCCGGTCTCCTTCCTGAGGAGCCTCCGTCCGACTCGGTGTCCTGACCGCCCAGGACGGCTCCCCCCGCAGCGACGGCGGGAGCGGGAGGCGGGCCCAGGCCCTGCGGGCCAGCGGGGGCGGCTGAGTCATCGCCTGCCAGCCGGGCACAGCCGTTTTTTTATTTACTCTCTTCCTTTAAAGGGTTTAACAGGAGCAGGAACTGATCGCTGACTCCTCCTGGTTCCCAGGGGTGGGGGTGGAGGCGGCCAGGGGATTTTGGGGGTGCACAGCCACCCCGGGGCCCGCCTAGGCCACACCCACCGCAGCCGCGACCTACCCGAGCAGCAGCTCGGAGAGTGGGGGCCTGGGGGACCGGCCCACCTCCATGTTGCAGGGGCCCTCGCCAGCATTCAAAACTTCAAAACGGTGACAGCAAAGTGTCAAACCCAAGTGCCACACTTCCTGGGTACAGGCCGGTGAGGCTGGTGCTGGGACGGGCCCTCCCCACCTGCCCTCGCTGTGTGGCCCCAGGTCAGTCCCCTGACCTCTGGGAGGGTGGGCCAGACCCCGGGCCCTGTGGGGTCACTGTGAGAAATAAGGGGGCTCACTTGGCTCAGAAAGGGGACCAGGGCCAGGCCCGTGCAAGCTGCATCCAGCAGGCAGCGGCCAGTGGTGCACCCCCGCACCCCGGCCGTGCAGCCAGAGGACCGGTTGGGGGCAGGGAGAACAGGACAGTGGACATCCGAGTGGGCACCGATGGTGCCCAGGACTCTGACCTGTGTGTGTATGGGGGGGGCGGGGCAAGCACGGGGACCAGGGGGTCAACGTTCTGCCAAGAGAGGGGAGGGGAGAGCAAGTTTTGGGAGGGAACACAGATCCCCCCTCAAGACAACCTGACAGAATGAGGGAGGGTACCAGCCACAGGCTGGGTGAGGCTGCTGACACCCCACTCCTGGTACTTGGCCACTGAGGGGCCTGCGCTGGCCTGGGTGGTCGTGGGCTGCGGGGCAGTGACACTGGGTACTCTGGGCAGGGGGACACCTGGAGGAGATAAAGGGGTGCTGCCAGCCACTGCCCCTGGGGAGCCACCGTGAGCCCACCCCCAGGGGTCCACTACCTGTCTCCCCCCACTCAGGGGTCAGGCAGTGGACCCGGAGCTCCCAGCAGACACTGCTTAGGTGCCTGCAGGCCTGGCTGGTGCTAGAACTCCCAGGAGAGAGGGTCTCAGTGGGTACATGGTGTGTGTGGGGGGTGCTGGGGCTGTGGGACCAAGGAGACAGCTTAGGGGGATCCATGGGGAGGAAGGGGGTCCCAAGGAGACAGGGTGAGTGAGGGGCCCTGAGGGTCAGCAGGGGTCGGCGTGCAGGGCCCCCCACCCCGCACCGGGAGACCGGCCCACCCACCCCACAGGTGCACAACCGGAAGCCCAGGGAAAGGGGACTGGGGGAAAGGTCGGCAGCGGCAGAGCAGAGGCGGGGCCTGAAGTGGTTGGAGGTGGCGGCCGGGAGGACCGGAAGGTGAGTCCAGGCCGGGCGCTCCCCCTGCCCTGCCCAGCGCTGCTCTCTGACCCTTGGCCTGGCCTCTCTGGGGAGGCGGGAAGGGACAGTGCCCTGGGGGTGGTGCCCTGACAGGTGGCATCAGCAGGAGCTGGGAGGACAGGTCGTTGTGGGGTGGGAGGAGATAGGGACCCCAGGGAGAGGGTTGGTGGGAATCTGCTAGGCCCAGGGCTGAGGTGGCTGGTTCTTCCCCCGCCTGGGCAGCCGCTCCTGCATCCCCGCCACGGTGCTCCCCACCCCACGGGCCCCTCTGAGGGTCCCTCTGGGACACAGCCCTGGGGGTCTGATGAGAAGGTGGTGCCACCGGGCACGGGCTCACTCGCCCCGGCTCCCCGGCAGGCCCGCCCGCCCCTCGGAGCCCTGCTCCCAAGGCACTCCAGGCCCCTGGGGCGCCATCGCGAGTCTGGGTCCTCAGCGCCCTGCTCAGGAGGTGCTTTGGACGGAAGTGGAACTCCAAAGTATCTAACTCGCTGCCTCAAACGCCCACCTCTCTGCGTGGAGCAGGTGAAGTCGGTGGAGGCCCTGTGCTCGTGGGTAAAACCAGAAGACTGGGGCGGGGGGGCGTCTAGAGTAGGGGGACCGGAACCAGGTGTCCCCGGAACTGAGCGGACGGCCAGGGCCCAGCAGGTGAGGATAGGGGGCCTCTCTGGAAGGCTGGAGGAACGAGTGGATGAATGGAGGAACGACATGGAGGGGGAATGTGACCACAGTAGGGGGCCCCAGAAGCCGTCACGTGTCTGGGAGAAAGACACCAAGCAGGGGCCACGGGACCCAGAGGCTGCAGTGACGCGGCCCAGCCCAGCGCCTGGAGCCCTGAGGAGCTGGAAGGGGCAGGCCGGACTGTCCTGAGTGGAGGGGGCACAGCCCTGCCGACACCTGGTTTCCCAGCCCCGGAGGCCACCAGGGACTCCGGGAGCTGGGTTTTCCCGGTGAGCAGGAGCTCTGCACGGTGCCACCTTCCCGGGCACGGACAAGGGACGTCCGGCGTGCTCTGAGGACGTGTGGAAACCCAGGGGGAGGTGCCGCCCAGCCCAGAGGCACAGCCGGAGGCTGGGTCCCCCAGGCCTGGAGTCCTCACTGGGAGTGGGCCGGTGGGGGACAAAGGGAGTGGCCTCATGGCCAGTCTGCTCCTGCGCAGTGCCCCCGCAGGGCTCCCACTCGGAAGGCCAGAGACTTCAGCAACCCCCCTCGCCGCCTCCTCTGCCACCACCTGGCCATCCCCGGTCCCGCTCACCCACTGATCCCCCTGCCTGGGCACTGTGGCCACCCGCCAGAGTGTCTTGGGGATGCGGTGACCAACGACCACAAGCTTGCTGGCTTCCAGAGGCCGGCAGGCCCATAGGTCTCCCGCGCCACAGTCTGACGGTGCCCCCGGCCCTATGTGAACGCGCCGGGAGAGACGCTGGGCCTGGCCTGGGACCCTCAGCAAGGCCCTCTGCCTCCAGCCAGGACCTGGGCGGCTGTCTCATTTCCCCTCTTTCTTCTCAGAGCTCCCCCAGCCCTGCCCTGGGGGTGCACCTCCGAGCCCCCCTCTCCTCCCACCTGCAGAGCTCCGAGAGGGGCCCAGGAGGGCAGGGCTTCTTCAGGTCAGAGGGGACAAAGGGCCTGGACCCCATTTGCTCCCAGGTCTGGGGTCCTGACCCTGAGGAGGGTAGTTCGAGGAACCCTGCTGGAATCTTCCAGCTGCTGACCCAGGCCCGCCACCCCCACCCCTCACAGTGGCCTAAGGCTGGGGGAAGACCCCAGGCTACCCCCTGGCCGCTGTCTGCCGTAGCCCAAAGGTCTGTCCCAGTTGGCAGGCTCCAGGCAGGGCGGGTGAAGGCAGCCGGCCTGTCCCTGGGGACTCCGGAAGGGACGGCAGCTCTGGCCCAGCACTTGCTGGGAGAGAAGGCTGTGGGGGTGCCACCAGGCTCCCTGGCCCGCTTCTCCCGAGCCTAGTCCCCACGAGGCCGGGCCTGACACAGCTGGCTCCAGGCCAGGCCTCCGGTTGTCATGGAAAGTAACATCCGGCCACCGCCCACGGCGCACTGAGTCAGCACGGCCGGGCTGGGCCGGTGACTGGTGACACCCGAGGCAGGTGGAGCTCTGCCCTCTCGGCGGCGAGGCTGAAAGGGCGCTCCCAGGTCAGAGGCCGGCGGAAGCCAGGCTTCCCTCGGAGCGTGCCAGGCAGACGGGGTGCCCGAGAGCCGCACCCAGTTCCGAGGACCCGAAGGCTCAGCCGGGACCAGCCTGAGGAGTCCCGGAGCCCGTGCAGTCGGGCGCTGCCGTCTGCCAGCGTCCCTGGGGTCTGGGGTCTGGGTGCCCCCGCCCCCAACTAGGCTCCCTGAGGCTGAGGCGGGGAGGAGGAGTCTGCCTCCAGAGGAAGCAAGCTGGGAAGTCGTTCCGATCGGAAGGGACCGAAGTCCGGGTGCGGCCGGGCGGGGAGGCTGGGTGGGCCAGCTGGCAGGGAGCCGAGGGCGGCCGCGCTGGGGCAGCACTGCAGGACACGGCCTGGTGAGGGGGCACGCTCCTGCTGCCCACCCCCCTCGGGCTTCCTCTGCAGACCGCCCCGCGGTGAGGGGGCGGGGCCCACCAGGGCTGGACCGGAGTCAGCACCACCACCGAAGCTGGCCCGGCTGAAGCGAAGGGCCCCACCCTCCCCCCAACCTGCCCCCAGGGGATGGATGGGCTCAGTGAGACTGCCGGGCAGCTGGAGGAGTGGGCACCGGGGCCGAGAGCCAGCGCAGCAGCCTGGCCACGGGGGCGGAGGAGCCACCTGCTGAGCTGCCTGCCCGCGGCAGGTGTGGACAGAGGCTCCCTGCCAGGCTGTGGGTGGCCACGACTCCTGACTTAAGGGGAACCCCAGAGTTTTAACCGAACCACCCCAATTTGGGGCTTCCGAAAAATCAGCTCCATTGGGGTGTAATTCACACCCATGAGCCACGTGTACCCACCTGGGCGATCCCAGCGGACACACCTGTGTAAGCACTTCCTTCTCCGAGACGGCACCCGCCCCGGCCGGTGCTGTGCAGATTCTGAAGGTCACGGAAACCGGCCACCCACCTGCCCTCCCTCTTGGGTGGGGTTCCTGCTGCTGGGACCACCCTGTTGTCAGGTGCACAGCCCTGCTCGCTGCCCCGTCCCCAACTCCCGGCACCTGGCGGGAGCACCGACCCACCTGGGGAGCCCCGCCCCCACGTCTTGCAGGCCTGGGGCAGAGCGCGGCCCCTCACAAGTCGGTGTGGTTGGGAGGGAGCTCAGAGGGCAGCTGGGCCCAGGGCCGGTCTTAGGGGACAGGCCAGACCCAGGCCTGAGGGACAGGCACAACAGGCCCCACCACCTCCAACGGAACAGGGTGGTCTGGAGAGTCGCCCTGAGAACTGAGGGCGGGCGAGGGCCGCAGAGGCCAAGGGAGTGGGGAGTGGCCCGGGACCCCTTCCTGGGCCCTGGGAAAAGCATCACGGCGCCTGGGCCGAGAGGTCAGTGGGGACAGACGAAGCAGCTGCCAGACGGGTGGGGTGGGGTCCCGTGGTGGCTGCAGCCCCAGGCAGAGCTGGCCCGAGCTGGGCCAGGCTGGCGTCCACCTGGAGCTACAGCTAACGCCACCCTTTCCGCTGCTCCGTGACTTCCCGGCCCAAGCGGCAAGGCCCAAACCCACCTCCGGAGGCTCCGCAGTGTCCCTGAGGCCCCCGGCCACTGGAAGGCCACCCCCCCTTCCCCGTGACCGCCCAAGAGGAGCAGACGTGGGCCAGGAGTGGACGAGCTTGCGACAGGCCGGGGCGCAGGCCGGGGCCGGCCACAGCGGGGCCAGGCAGAGCGCAGCCTCTCAGGGCTCCCAGCCGCCCTCCCGGTGCCGTCGCACGCCCACCCCACAGCGGCCCCGCAGACCCAGAGCAAGGACGCCATCCCGGGGCCTCAGACCCACCCGAAAGTGACGTGGGCCTGGACACCCACCAGGCAAGCTAAACGCAGCCTGGGAAACAAGACAGAAAACCAAAAAGAGAGAAGTCCCGCATCCGCCCACACCTCGGGCTCCACAGCAACAGCCCAGGAGCGGAGGAACCACATCTGTGCCCGCCCCCGCCGCCCCAGAGCCCCCCCGAGACTGCGCGGGCACTGGGTCCGTGTTCCACAACTTTAATAGAATACTCTAGCTATTCTGTACAAATTGAAAACGGAGTCTTCAGTTACAAATGTGTCTTGAGTAAGGCTGAGCACTCTCCAGGCCTGGGCACAGTGTGGACCCGGCATCCTGGCTGCCAGGGACCGCGGTCACACACTCAGACACCCCACACGCCAGCCAAGGACAGGTCTCGCTGAGCCCAGGGCTTTTAAGACAAGGTGGGCGTGGGCCGACGACCGGGAGCTGCTGAGACGACACTTACACAGGATGGCTGGCCCTGCCCCCAACCCCACCGGGCCAAGGGTCCCCACAGCAGGGGCGGGGAGACGGCCCCGCCAGGGCAGTGGGCGGCAGGAGGCGGCGAAGTGCGTTCTTCCGCACGGCCCGCTCCCGGGGAGCCGCCACCGCTCCTGCCAGTCAGGTCGCCAGGGCTCCAGTCACAGGTGTGGCTTCAGACACTCCAGGACGGGGGCCGCCGGCGCCCCGAGTCCTCACGGCACAGGACGACAAATAAATACAAGGACGACCACACAGGCCCTGCCTCAGCGCCGCGGGCGCCCCGGCCCCACCCCCACCCCGAGGAAAACAAGAACCGCAGAACGAACACGCCGAGGAGAACGGGCCCCACCCCCTGGCTCCTCCGAGGCGTCAGACACAGAAGACAGGTGGCTGGAACGAAGCGTGTGGCGTCTTCAAACGAGGCAGGAGCAGAGGCTCCCCAGACGTCTGCCCTGGGCTCGGGTGACCCTCTACCCCCACCCCTGTGGTCTACGGGCCCCCAAGCCAGGCCTGGGAAAGTCTACGAGCTGCACCCAAGGCCGAGGAGGGTGCGGGCGTTAAACCCCCTACTTCTGAAATGCGTTTAAGCTGCCACTGCACAGGTTAAGCAAAACCGTAAGGACGGAGGGAGAGGGAGCGTGAACACCATGCACGAGGAGACAGGTCCGGTGCGGGCGCCGCCGGGACGGGGCCTCACTGCTGCTTGCACTCGGAGGGCTGGCCGGGCTCCTTCTGCGGAGACAGAGACCAGACTTCAGAGGACTGCCGCAGCCCACCACGCACCCCCACCCACCGGGAAACCCCGGACGCCACGCCCAGGCAGCTCGCTCTACCCGGAACAATGTCACTACGAGTCCACTCTTAAGACAGTAACAGAACAGAAGCTAACTTCCCAGGAGCGGCATCCCGGCAGCCTGCCGCTCCTGCTTACAGACACGCGCACGGGCGCCTTCGAGCAGGCTGGTGCCACAGGAGGGTCTCGGGCCTCGAGCGCCTCCTCGGGCCGCAGGATCGACTGAGTCACAGGACACCGGGTTTCAAGGCTGAGGGGCAGCCCGGACTCTGGGGGACCCGCCGCGCCGCCTGTGAGTCATCGGCACGCCCTCCACGTTCCACCCCCGCCCCTGACGCCCACAAGAGGGCCCCTTCCCCTGGGCCTGCTCGCCCTGCCACCAGGGGGTGCCCCCACATCTCGGCATCAGGACCTCCAGAGACAAGCCCCACACCCTGAGTGCCCAAGTGGAAACCCTATCCTCCCAGAAAAGGACCCAGGGAGCCCCTCACCCCAGAACCACTCCAATGTGACCTCCCATGTGTTCCCACCACTGGCACCCAGTGACCCACTGGGTGCGCCCATTGCATGCTGTGTGGGCGCCCCCACGGCAAGCCCCCCACTCTCATCTGAGCTGAGTGCGCACATCGCTCTGCGCGCACCCTGGCGTGCCCGTGGGGTCTGAGGACCCGCACCGCAGGGCTGCAAAGAAACACGGGTGGGATAACACAGGGGACACCTGCCCGCCTGGTGCCAGCTGGGGCTGCAGCTCCCTCTTCGGGAAACCCCATCTGAGAGATGAAGCCACACGTGCAAAGGGCACGCAGGGACGGAACAGTCCTGGAGCCCGGGGGGACGGACAGGACGCAGGACCAGCCGGCACCTGCAGAGCTGGCCCTGGGGCTCTGCCAGCACTGGCCAGGGCCAACGGCGGGCCCCTGTGGGACGGAGCCCAGGAAAGGGTGCTCGGGAAGTGTCTGTAGGGGTGACGTGGGGGCCTGGGGCAGGTGTGCAGGACGGGGGGGACTTTCCACTCGACCCCTGCATGGGGACGACCGTGTCTCGTACGTAAGCCAGTGCCGAGTCCTGCCGCACGTGGCTGTGACCAGCAGGCACGCGTCGCCTCCCCGTCTGCCGCGGGACTCCGGAGGGCCAGGGCTGGGTAAGACGGACCCCGTCTGACGTCACCCCAGAGCCCAACAGCAGCTCGGCCCCTCAGCAGCGGCCATCAAGGGAGGGGCTGGCGTTCCAAAGGCACAAACCGAGAGCCAAAACCCTGCCCGCCCTGGGCCCGGCAGCCGGGCCCGAGCACACGCTCAGCCCCGCCCCGAGGCTGGCTGGCTGGTTCTCGATGCTCCAGAGTCACCGGCAGGTGTGGGCGTGGGCTTCGGGGACAACCATTTAAGAACACAAGTAAAGGACCAGCCCCGGGCCTTAAAGCGTCCAAGGGCACTCCGCCTGCGGTGTGCCTGCAGCACAGACCCGCGCCCGCGCCGGGGGGACAGGAGGACAGTGCAGACAGACCCGCACAGGTGCCGGTCTGGGCGAGCGCCAGCACCAGGCTCCTTCCGAGCCCGGAGCGGAGACACGCGGAGCCCCGGCTTCCACAGGCACAGCTTCGGGCACTGGCCGCCCTCTGGCCAGCGAGGGGAGTCCCGTGACTTCCCCGACACCCGGCCTGTGCTGGTCTCTCCGCATCTGTTCCCCAGCCCCACCACTACGCCCCGCTCCCAGGAGCAAACCCCCGTCCCAGGAGCAAGCGTTGACCGCCCCACACCACAGGGGGCCCGGCGGCCCCCAGGACCCACGGCTGGCGCTGCCCTTAGGGAAGCGGAACTGCAGCCAGCCCGTCGGCACGCACGAATGCTCGCTCTGCCTGGGCCGGCAGCCGTGCAGGTGAGAAGCTCTGGCCAAGTCCAGTCTCCCCGTTGCTGCCCACTGGTCTGCGTGACGCCTACACCCTACAGGACTGAGCAACTGACCAGCACGCCCAGGAGAGTCCCATCTCCCCCTGCACCCCGGGGGTGGCAGGGGCACAGGGGCCAGCAGGGAGGGGCACGGGCAGCAGGAAGCCCAGAACCTCTGCCTCCAGGACCGCCGTCCACTGGCTCGTGGTCCTCCCCGCTGGCTGCCGCCTCCCGCCTCCCAGAACCCCTTCTCTTCATGTCCTCTTCCTGGAGGGCAGTCCCATCGTCAAGAAAAACACCACACCAGTGACCCCTGGCTGCGTGGTCGACGAAGACCACTGGGCTCTGCCGGCAGGAGCCACGGCGGCTCCGGTGGTCAGCTTCAGAAGGCCACACGACACCCCCCGCACGTGTGCGCCCGCACGGCAGCGTCCCCTGCACCCACAGTCACGACAAGACACCGGTACCAAGCACGGATTCACATTTGGAAGTAAGGAATGAATGGAATTCCACCTTACCTAGAAATGCATGAATGATTAACAGATAAAAATTACACCTAAACGGGGAGAAAACGGAAAGGAGCGGTCAGCGGGGAGGAAAACGAGGGGCACGCGGCCACGCGGGGAGCAGCAGCCCCGCCCTCTCTCCGGCCGCCACAGGGCAGCGCCGCGTGCTCTGAGCGCAGCGGCCCGCACACGCCAGGCCCTGCCCCCACCCCTGACGTCCCCCCTCTCCTCTGCAGGGCAGACCCCCCCCCAGGCCCCTCTACCGAGTGCGCATCGAGGGCCAGAGGTGCCACAGAGGCCGGGACCCACGTCCCTGACCGCAGGCGGCTGCGGCCCCAGCACCTCGCAGCACCACCCGGTCCACTCCTGCTCCTCGTGAAGGGTGGGGCCAACAGTCCCCTGCCCCCTGCGGGCTGTTTGGGACCGCCCGGGGAGAACACTCTCCCAGAAAGCAGCCGTGCGGAAAGAGGACAGGCACCGGAGGAAGCAGGGACAGGAGCGAGGTGCCCGCCGCCACCGAGACGCAGCCGGGGCAGACAGTGCCCCGGGTCCCAGGCACGCAGAGCGCACCGCCCTCAGCCCTGCGGCCAACCACGGACGCCGCGGCGGCCCCTGACGGCAGGGAAAAGGCGGGTACACTCGCCTGGGACTCGGGCTCGGCGGGGCGAGGTGTCATCACCACCCAGTGCTGTTAACTAGTAGACACCCCTGACCTCTCACCCCCAAGCGTGACCCACTCAGGCCAGGCCGCAGGTCTGCGTCACCCCGTGGCTCCTCACCAGCCACCGCTCCCAGGTGAGCGCAGGTGGGCTTTCGACAGTCACCCTGGGGGCGACGGGCCGACTCCCAACGGCGAGTGTTCCTCTGAGCACATTTAACGAGTGTCGCCCCCACCCCCGCAGCAGCAACTCCTGCGTGAGCATGCGGGGAGACACACACGGGGGAGCCGACAGACCCCAGGACCAGCTGCACGGACAGCTCGGGGCACTGCCCGCTTGGTGCAGAGACAGGGAAACGCGAGACGACGTCCGTTAACCGGACCCACCCGCTCTGGAACGCCAGGCGGCTAAGTGTTCTGACAGCCCGGGAGAGCCGAGCAGGGGCAGGCGAGCCGCGAGCCTTCCGCCGGCACCCCCGAGGGCCCGAGGTTCAGCTCCCAAGACCGGGAGTAAAGCTCGGACTCACAGGTGAGGTTAATGGGGCTACCCACCTGTTTCTGTCGTTCTCCCTTAAAGTCCCCAGTCTGTTTTAAGTTATGAGACACTTAGGGGTGAACTGTGAGTGTTCTCAGCCCAAGTGAGATGGTAAATTGTAGTTACAATTCCTTCCGGGTCTCTGCAGTTCAAAAACGGGAACAGCTCCCCCCCCCCACCCCCACGCAACAGTGCATGCGTGTCGGTTAACTGACCACCTCCAGAGAAGGACAGAGCAGGGACGTACCGGTCCTGGGACGAGGCCCCGCCCACGAGCGCGCCCGAGGAAGGGCCGGGAAGCCCGGCACTGGTGGCCGCCCCAGGCGTCTGAGCCCAGGGGCCCCCGAGAGACCGCGCTTCCTGACTAGGGGACACGTGTACAGCCCCCACACCTGCAGTCTGGGGGGCCCCGGAACCACTCACCTTGGGGTTCACCTCGGCATCATCCTCGTCTTCCCCCTCCTCATCTCCTTCTAGTTCCTGCAACGAAAGGAGCGAACAGGACCTCAGTTCTTACGGATCCACGGGCCACGGGCTAGAGCGACGCTGCGAACTGCAATCAATCGTCGTCATTCACAACGGACTGAGTCCCCTCTCTGCACACTTAGTCTTTCACGGGCCCCTCTGGCTCACAGACACCCCTGAAGCCAACACGCTGGTGACAAGCGGACTCTGCGGGTTAAATGGCCCTTTCCCTAAGTGACCACTCGAGGTCCTTCCCACCAGCCGAAGGCAGGGCCGGAACGGGGCGCTGCCGCGGCACTTGCCCTCTTCCCACGGCTTCCAGCGGGGCCCGCGGCTCCAAGGCAGCGTCACGCAGGCACCGCCACCCGGGCTCGGGGTCTCACACGCTCCGTCCGTGCCGGCGGGGGAGGCCGAGCACGACCGTGGGGCCGTGCGGCTGCTGCACACGAGCTGGCCTTACCTCCTCTTCTCCTTCTTCGCCTTCTTCAAACTGAAAAGGAAACACGTGACTGGGTTTCGAAAGCACGGCAGCAACCCCACCCAGGGGCAGCTCCTGCCCGCCCCCCCACCGGCCAGGACTAAGGAGGCAGGACGCCCAGCCCCGACGGAGCCGAGGGCCGCGGGGCTCCGGGCCCAGTTCTCAGGGCCGGCCGCTGCGGGGCAAGTCCGGGCATGGGGACGCCGCGAGCCAGCTGGGGCCAGCACGGCGGACACGCCGGCCCGTGAGCCTGCCGCGTTGACAGGAAGCAGGTCCCTGGAAACCAGTCAACACGAGGACTGACTAAGGATGGGGCGAGGAAAGGAGACTGTCAGCCTGGGTGTGCCCGGGGTCCAACTAGGATGCCGGCTGACCTCAGCAAGCCGGTAACTGATGTGTCACTTCACACCTCGGGCAAGGGAAACCCTCCTCAGACACCCAACGCGACCTCGGTGTCGAGTCTGCGCCAGGACTGCCGCGCGCGTGGGCGGCACCCAGCACTGCAGCTGGCTGGCCTTGAGGGAGGCCTCCCCCGTCCAGAGACATCGCTGGGGGGGGCTCTCAGTCAAGCTCCAAACGCCAGACTAAGGCGAAAGCCACACCAACAAGAGAAACTTGAACACTAATGGCTACACGCCTGTCTTCGGAGCCCACCCAAATGGGACTCGGGCTAGTGCTGGGTGCCGGTGCGGCTCATTTCCAACACCGGGCCTTGCCCGCACGCTCTCCAGCGCCGAGCAGCACCCACGACGGGACGCGGCCCGACAGGGTAAGGCCTTTCGGTGTCCTGACGCCGCAGGGCCCTCACGGCGTGTCAGGTCAGCCCAGAAGCACCCAGCGGGCTTCGGGGAGGTTCTGGGGGTCTGGGCACACCGCGTCACCGCACCTCCTCCCGGGAGCACTGCGCAGCCCTCGGGACGGGCAGGACGCCCGGGGAGCGTGGCAGACAAAGCCAGGGCTCCTCGGTCCACTCCACCGTGTCGCCAGCACTTCCTGAAGCTCGAGTCTCAGCAGCCCCTGGGGCTCCGCAGTGACCCAGCCCCGGGGCGAGCCCCAGTGCCCTCCAGCCCGCTGGGGCACTTAGCACAGGGGAGTGGGGGAGGAGGCCCGCACAGTGACCGACGGGGGGCAGGCCGGGCCCTCCTGGTGCTTGATGCCCGGCAGACCCTGCGAGTAGGGGAACCCAGAAGCATCCAGGAGACCTCAGAGCTCTGACAGCAGGGAGCAAACACCATGTGAAACGCCCCTCCAGTAACGTGCTATGAAACAAAACTTCGTTCATCCCCATAAACCAGGACCGCCAGCCCTCGGTTCCGAAGGAACCGCCTCAGGCGACAGCCACAAGAGCAGCTGCGGGGCTGGGCTCATCTCCTCCCGCCGTCCCTCTGCGGGGCAGGGACCCGCACCCCTTTGGGGCCACTGTGCCCAAGGCCGACACGAACCAACTCCGCTGCTGCGGACGGCTTGCTGCGGCCAGACCTCCGTGAGTGGGGTCCCTCCCGCTGAGCAGCCACCCAAAGCGTGAAGGCCTCGAGCAGGATGAGGCAAACCCCGGGGGTCTTAAGGGAGCCCTGAGGCGCCAGCAGGTGCACCTTACACAGGGACCGCTCGGGACACCTGCTGCCCCGCCGCCCTGGCCCTCTCCCTCCAGCCCCCGATGCCAGAAACAGCGCGCCGCGCGGTGCAGGGCCGGGCGCTTCCCCAAGCACGTACGTTGTCGTCGTCCTCGATGGCCTCCCCCGTGAAGTAGAGCACGGCCCGCGGGACTACCCGCTCACGGAAGAAGTGTCCGATCTCGAAGTCCGAGGCCAGCGTGAACTCGGAATCTTCATCCTGAGAGGGAGGCCCCGTGTGAGCCCGCCCGTGGGGCCGACATCGCGCTCTCCCCCACACCCGGCCCACACTGCTGGGAGCCTGGCTGAGGCCCCAAGCCCAGCAGTGCCAGGTGACAGCGGTCACAAGGTCAAGCAGACTTAAAGGGACACCAGTGAGGTGGTGGGGAGGGCGGTGACCACACACGCACCCCAGGGCTTTAGGAGACAGGAACAGGTGAAAAAAAAAGCAGGTAACTACTCAGGAAATACAGACTTAACAACAATGTAAGAGGCTTTTGATACCAACACAAATCTTACCAGTGATTCTCCATCCCCAGAGGCTGGAAAAAAAAGACAAAACATGTCCGTGTTACACTGACAGGCAGAAACACCCAACCCACGCAGGAAGCTGATCTGATACATGGAACGTTAACAGCCCCCAGTGCTAGGCTGTCCCTGGAAATGGCCCTGATGGGTGCCCCCTGGTGGGCACCCATAGCACCTGCACCCGGCTTGGGGCACCCAGCTGCTCACAGCCCCGGCTGGAGAACGCCGCCCTGGGCCCTCCAGAGCAGCAGGGACACCAGTGCCCACGGGAGCAGGTGGGAAGGGACGTCGAGGGGTCCAGGCTGTGGCCACGGAGTGCACCAGTGCCCTCAGGGAAGCTCTAACTCGAGTCTTGCAAAACCACACTCAACAATCCAGTACGCGAGGGGGCAAGCTTTGAGCTCTGAAGCCCTGGAGAGGCCAAGACCACGTCTCTGTCCGGAAAGGAGGAAAGCGGGAAGGGAGTGCCGAGGCCTCTCTGAGATGCGAGCTGTGCCTGCGGGCCAGTGTCCCCCACCTCAGCTCTGCGCTGAACGCGACAGCACGTGACACAGCCAGTGGTGAACTGAGCGTGATGGCCGACACCAGGACCTAAGTGAACCCACGCTTGGTGAAGCCCAGCGACAGCCAAGCCCCGATCTTGCAAATGCTGGGTCGAGGCCCAGGGCGGCCCAGTGCGGGGACCCGAGCGCTGGGGACGGAAGCACGAGGCGGGGACTCCAGTCCTTGGTGTTGGTACGTAAGCACCCCACAGGCTCTCCGAGACTCAGGTGTGGGGGCCCTGGCCCGGGGCGAGCACAGAGACCTTCTCTCGGGACTCCAGGACCTTCCCTGCGGTGCAAGGACAAAGCAGCAGCTGCACGAGCCACCTCGTGTCTCCTTCGCATCAGAACTCACTTCGTCAGCCGTGACGGGCCTCTCTGCAGCCGCGTCACCTCCCCCCGCTGTCGCCCTCTGTTCACTTTCACAGAACTTCTCCCGCGACGCTGACTCCACGCGGTTCTCTAGAAGCAGCCGGCCGGGTCAGGAGGCTCGGCCGGAGAGCTGCGGGCTCAGCCCCCAGTGAGGACAGGAGGGGCCGGCCGTGTCTGTCTCTCACCGGGCGTTTCTTGCTGGCCCCTGCCCCTGCCCCCTCCCTCTAGTCCCTCAGACACCCTGGAGTGACGGGCAACAACAAGTAACAAAGCTCTACCGAGCTGGAATTCGAGCACCACGAAGCCCGCCCCCCCGGGCATGCGGCCCACCAGAGCCCGCAGTCAGCGCCGCGCAGCGGCCACAACGGGGCGTCCCACTCGCCCCGAAACAATGAGGATGGACAGCAGTCCCCGCCTGGGTCCATCGGGTTCCACCAAGGACTTAAAGTCCCGTTCTGAGGACACGTCCAACAAATCAGAGTGTCCCTGCGTCACGAATTCACAGACACCCTCCCAAAGGCCACCGAGGCTCCAGAAGGGAAAGGAAACGGACTGACGGAGTTCATGGCTCTTGTCGCCCCCAAACCAGCTTGCGCTTCCATCCTCCAGGCTCACAGACAGGCCGCAGAGAACAGCCACCTGGACCGGAGACTGGGCTGTGGGTGTGGCGGAGCCCTGGGCTCAGACCGAGGGGGGGGCCGCCCCTGCAGCCTGGGACGAAGCCTGCATGCACTCCAAGCTCCGTCTGTCCGTTCGTGGCAGGGCCGGCGGTTCTTCCCCTCTGACTGCGGCTCTGCTCACGGACCGCACAGCCCGTGCTGGTGCCGCCCACCCACTCTAACATGGCCCGCTGCCCCGCCCCCTCGCTCTCCCAGGGGGACACCACAACAAAACAGGAGCTTCCGAGCTACGCCTCTGCCCCCAGCCTCTCGAAGGGGAAACCCCGTTCCTTGCTCACCGCAACAGGCAAGTTCCCGAGCCCTGCAGGAGAGTGAGCGGGGCGGGCAGACGATCCCAAGCTGCGCAGTGTGACCAGAGCGAGCCCAGGGACAGGCGCCTGCGGGGCGGGGTCTGCGGCACAGGGGCTTCCGGGGAAGCCTGGGCAGGCACCCTGCGCCTGCTCAGAACGGAGCCCGGGGCCACCTCTGCTTCCCCTCCGGCTTTGAGAACGCCGCCGCGGCCCTCCTCCCCACCCCGTGCGCACAGGGCCCCCGAGGCTCTCGAGTTCTCCCACACAAGCACAGCACACCCCACCCCCCGCTGTGTGACAGCGGAGCATTTCCACGGGCGCCTCCGCAGTCCCCGCTCACTTCCCGAGCGCCTAGAGAGCACCCAGGCCCAAAAACCAGCCCAGACGCCACAGGAAGCAGCGCGCGGCCCGGAAGGACAGTGGCGCGCAGCGAGGGCAGGGACGGTCTGACGCGTGCACGCCGCTCTCTGCGCACTCGAGCGACACCTCCCGCTTTACCGGCTGCCGGGCGCCAACGGAGACGCCACTCTGCCACCGGCAGGACCAACTTCGGCAGCTCTTGAGGCGCCGCCTCTCTGCCCGTAAACGGGACGGACGGCGGATGCAGGTGAGCTGGACACACGCACTTCGCCTGCCCTTCGCGCACCTCTGCCGGAACCGCGCCCCGCCTCCCGTGGAGCGCCGCGCCCTCCCGGCTCCCGGCTCCGGGCCGTCCCCCCAGCCCAGGGCACATCCCGCCACCAGGCGCGTGAGCTCCGTGCGGACGAGGCCCCGACGGGGCGGCCCGTCAGAGCTGCCGGCTGGGTGCCCAGCGCCGGGCGGGGTCCCGGGACAGGTGCTTGGCGGCGCCGCTCGTGCTGCTTGGGGTGGGCGCCGCCACCACCGTCGTGGCTCCCAACAAACGCTGAACCCGACCGTCACTTTTCGCCTTTTTTCCTACGGACAAAACCCTCTTGGGTTTTTCCTCGGTCAGTGAAAGCAGGCACTAACGTGGGTCTTCTGTGAACGCGAGTGGTGGCGCACGGACCCCGGAAGTGGGGACGCCCGTCCGTGTCGGCCCGCACCCCCACTCACCTTTGAGCGGGCTGAAGAAGTTGAAAAAGGAGTCGTTGGGGACCTGCTTGGTGATGGTTCGGACGGTGCCGCGGCCCTTGTGCTTCTGCTTTTTCTTGATCGTCTTGACCGTGACGTTCTTTCCCTTCTTCCAGTCGATGGTGCACCTACCGGGACAGGACAGCCATCACGGCCCGCCCACCAAGAGAAAGGCCGACTGCTGACGCACACAGCGAGCGCGCGGCGGCTCTACGCCCGACCCGGACGTGAGAAGAAACCCGCCTGCCAGCCGAGCACCCCGGGCCCGCGAGGCGCCCCTGAAGGCCAGCGGCAGGGCGGCGCTGGCCGCCACCACTCCGAGCGGAGCTCGGTCCCACGCTCGGGCCTCCGGAGTGGCAGCGGCCCCACCCCCCATGACTGCGCGTGCAGACTCTGAAGTCCTGTCATGAGCCCCAGGCGAGGCGCCTCAGAGCCTGTCCCCGCTGCCCCCGGAGACCACCTGACATCAGCACGCACGCAGGCAACCCAGCGTATGGTTTGAGTTGGGGAAAGGAAGTGAGCCCCCATACGGGCAGCCAGTGCAGAACACACAGGGCCCAGGGGTGCTGAGCAGTCCTCGGGGGCCGAGCACAGCGCGCTGTAACTCTTCCCATCGCCTCGGGCCAGCACGACGCCTGGCAGCGCCCGAACGGAAAGCCAGGCCTCCTTCTCCCACCACGGCGGCCGGCCTTGGGCGCCGGCCCTGTCGAGGCCAGTCTAGCCGGATGAGCGTGACCGAGTGCAGTGCAGGCTGGGACTGACCTCACAGGGAGCTTCGTGAGGCCAAGCACGTGGTGGTTCCAGTGGGTAAGAATGACTGTTCCAATTCAAAAGGAACAATTTCCCAAACCACCTCAAGCTAACCAAGAGGAATGAACCCAAAGTACATTCACTCCTCGGTGACCTCAGACTGACATGGCCAAGGTGCCTGACCATGAGTGGAAGGACATTCAAACTGCCCGCCAGCCAGCCAAGCGAGCAGCTGGCCCACGGACCCACGCCCTGCCAGCGCAGCGCCTCGTCCCCAGCGGCGGCCCTGTGCTGGGGGAAGGGGCACAGCTTCAGTGACAGTGACCAGAGAACCCCGCCCCCCGACCCACACCCTTCCCATGTCACCAGGCGACACCTCCCGGCACCGGCTGCCACATCCCCAAACAGAAAGACAATTAATTCGATGTGAATCTTGGTCTACTGGGCTTTCAGGCAGACTAACAACTCGCTGCTTTATTCCTCATGTCCGTGGTACTTGCAAAGCTCTAAAACCATCTCCTAGCTTGTTCCAGAAAAAGAAGTCAAAACGGCACTCCTCACCCGTCGCAGTCGACAATCTCCGGCCCTTCGAAGGAGAAGGGGTCCGCCTTGTCCGGCTCCGACTTCATCTTGTAGGTCTTCGTCAGGACCGCGTTGCTGAAGTAGTCGTTGGGCCCGAAGTGGAACTCCAACACGAAGGACTGCAGACAGAACGCCGCGTCAGCACCGCCCAAACCGACAGAGGCGCAGTGACGGCTCTTATCGGCCCCACAGAACCCCCTGGAACCCAGCCCCTCCCTGAACAGGACACCACAGGCAGAGGTCACGCTTAAAAGGACAACAATGTGGCTACGTCACAAACACAACTTTGTGGCAAAAACACGGTCACAAAGTTAAAGCACAAAGGACAGGCTGGGGGTGGGTCCTGTTGCCTTTGGTCCGCAGAGGCAGGTGGGGTCGTGTGTGCCCCCCCAAGTGGGGTGGAGAGTCTGAAGGAGACATGGGGCCCGCGGGCCCGCCAGCCCGCCCCCCTCTCCCCTCTCTCGTGGACAGACACGGCTTTCTCTGCCCTACGGAGGGGGAGGGGGGTGGCAGACCCGTGGGGGGAGAAGAGCAAGCCCCGCCCACAGCGACGAGAAGCCCCTCCTTCCGCCGCAAAGCCCTCCACAACCCGGAGAGACGGGGACTGGAGAGCTGGACAGGGAAGACGGACAGAGGCGCTGCGAGTGCCCGTCACGAACAAAACCCAACGGCCGGCAGGTGGGCTGCTCACACCCGTGACTCCCGAAAGAAACGAGATGCCCCCTTTTTGGACCAGACGCACAAACCACAGAATGCAGTGGTGCCAAGTGTTCGGGAAACCAGGGGCACGCACACTGTAGGCGGCTTTCTGAAAGACAACGTGGCAGTCATCCAAACGCATGAGTGAGTGAGCAATGGAAGGAAGGGCCGCTCTGTGCCCACTGCCAGTCTGGAGAACCCCCCACTGGAAGAGTGGGAGCACGGGCACACGCACACAGACACACAGAGCCAGTTCACCCCCAGGTCACGAAGGCCCCAAGACAGTGCCGGCTCGTCAACTACAGCGAGTGTGCGAGGGCCGGCTCTGGGCTCAGACAGCCTGGGTTCCCACCCGCCCCACCGGCAGTGCTGTGCCACCTGGGGAGTCGCCCAGTGCCGCCATGCTGCCTCACCTGTGACGCGCAAAGAACCAGCCCCCAGCCGACCTGGAGAGGATCTACGGGAGCAGCACTGGGCACAGGACGGGGGGGTGGAAGCAGGACCCTCCAAAGGGCGGGGAAGGGGAGAAAGGCCACCCAGACTCGGGAGCACAGCCCCAGGTGACCAGAGCCCGAGGGACTGACTGTCCTGCCGGCTCCCAGAACAGAGGGCAGCAGGGTGTGGCCGGGAGGTGTGGCCGTGAACCTCGGTGCGGGCTGGGCGCCACTCCCGCAGGCCCGTTCTGCACAGGGAGAGGTGGTCCCTTTCTCGCCGCCCCCCACCCCCCGCTGTGTCCCGCCCCTGCTCCACACCAGGTGAACTTCCTCCCTATTTCCCGACTCCTTCCTTCCCCTGGGTCTCCATTCATGAAGAGGGACCCAAACACACCGGGGTGAAGTCAAACGTCCGATGGACCCACAACAAAGGGCCCCAAGATGCGGCCACCTCACCCGCGCCCCCCACCCCAGTAAGGACGACCTGTGACAGCGGGTCTCCTCTCGACCCAGAAAGCCACTGTCTTTGACGAGGACAGGTCCCCGCCCCCACGGCTCCTGTGGTCAAGGTGGACGACGGACTCCATTCTCTGTGCTCTGCTCTAAGCTTGAATCATTTCAGACAGAGACCCCCTTCATTATTTTGTAATGAAAATCATCACAGAAGTGAAGCGTGGAGAAACACTTCCTCCGGGAGGGGCGCACGCACTGGGCCTCACAAACATTCAGCCCCACCGACCCGGTCGGCCCACGAAGAGGAACCGTCAGAGCCTTAAACACAGACTTGCGTTCAAGGGTGCCGATTCCAACGCAACACCTCAGAACGGGGTGCAGGTGGTGGCGTGTGAGGGGGACGTCAGAGAAACCACTTCGGAGCCCACAGATGCGCTAACAACTGTGCCCTGCCCAGCAGAGCCTGTGTGGCACAGAGACACAGCATGACAGTGTCCGAGCTGCATCCCACCAGCTGGGGTGTGGGGGTGCTGGCCCCAGAGAGAGGGAGCAGGTGTGGGCGGGGCCAGTGTGCAGGCCCCGCCTCCCTCTGAAGCTGGGCAGCTGTGCTTTCCCTCAGCAGTCTCAGCGATGCTGGTGTTTCACGACGGTTGTGCAAGGGCGAGGGCAGCGGACACCCGTGATGGCTACGGCTGGAAGCCAGAGGCCGCTGCGAGTTTCCGAGGTCCTCTCGCCACGGAGGAGCAGCCCAGCCTCCCGGAAGCCCCAGGGGACGGGCGGGCGGGAAGCAGGCGGGCCCAGGGAACCTCAGTGCCCGGAGAGAGCGGAGGAAGAAAGAGGGACACAGACCCAGAAGGGAAACGCCAGCAAACTCAGTCTAGATGGATGACCAGTGAGAGCGCAGGGTGAGGGGAAAATTCACGGACTCTTAGATGTGTGTTCACACTCGGGGAGGAGGACTCGCCCACCCATCTCGGCAGATGAGGCCCCGGGGCCACAGGCGACCTGGAAGGGGGCACGCAATGACGGCAAGGCCTCCACTTGCTGGGAAGAGGGGACAGGAGGGGACACGGGGATACCAGGGTGCTGCAGTGGGAGGAGGGGCCCCCACCGCCTGGGAACGGGCACGGCTCCGGTCATGCCCGTGCCCCACCTGCAGAGGGTCGGCGGTGGCAGTCACCTCCCACAGTGCAGCGGACAGGAAAAGGAGCAGGATGCACATGCTGTGTCCCCCTGCCCCACCAGCAGTTAGTGACACCTGCAGGACCAGGGAGAGAAATCCCACTCACACTGGCCCTCACCTGCTACCTGGGGTTGGGGCTCTGCGACAGGGCGGAGCAGAAGAGCCAGGCCAGGTCCCCACCGAGACCCCTCACCCACAGCCCCCAGGTGCTTGTCTCCAAGATCTGAAACTGAGAGCCATCGGCCAGGCGCCCAGTCATGTGTCACTGGAATTGCTCTGGCACTGGAATGGAACCCGTCAGCCACGGCAGGCTGACGGGTCACGAACAGTGCTCTGGTGACACCCGGCTCGGCCAGGAGGCATGCACCACCCCAACATGACCCACGGCCGCAGACATTCAGGGAGACGGGTTCTGTCACCAACCAAAGAGCAGGGGAGTGCCTTTCGGTCTCCCGCACCTGCAGGCACTCTTCCAGACAGACACGCAGCAGGCCGCCCCCCCCATCAGTGCCTTGGGTCGCTGGTCAAGCACAGCTCGTACCCACTGTCTTTTTAGACAGACCTTACGTACCACGCCCCTGAAGATTTAGGGGGCGCTAAGGAAGAAGATGGTACAGGACACACTAGCCAAGAAACCACAGCATGCCACCGGGGACACCACGTGGGCCCAGAGTCCAACCCCGTGTCCGACTCCCGCACCTGCCGCCAGGCGGCGAGTGGCCGAGGGCACCTGCTAGGCTGCCCTAACTCTCAGGGAGCGCTGGCTCCAGTCAGTGGCACGTGAGCAGTGGGTCTGACGTCTTGCTCTGGTCCCGGGCCCTTGACGCCCAGCGTCCTGACGCCTCCTGACACCAGCCGGAGGCTCAAAGGTCAGCACTCACCATCGGCTGCCCGGGCTCTGAAAACTTCACTTGAATATCCTGCAGGTGTTTCAAGATCGGCTCGTCGTACTCCTGAAACACAGAGAGAGGGAAGGGACCTCCAGTGGGCTTCTGGAAACAACACACGTGTCCCTGTGGAGTCACAGGTGCATCACTCCTGGGTGCTGGACAGTGGGCCCCAGGGGAGCCCTGTCCTAGTCAAGTGCTGACTCCCAGGAAGTCACCTACCCGTTCCCCGGCGACTGTTGGAGGGGACAGCAGAGGGCGCCACATTGCCGGCAGCCATTGGAGCCGGCCAGAGGCCGGCGGTCCCGAGTGTCTCCAAAGAGACAGAACCACAAGGCAGGCTTAGGTCTGTAATGACGCTGGCAGCCACTGCCCCCACAGTGGCCCATGGCAATAAACAGGCAAAGCCCACCACACAGCCACTGCCAGTCCAGAGCACTCGCCAGGCGTGGCTGAGACCACCTGGCAGGCGCCAGAGCGCCCAACCACAGCCCCGGGCCTTTCAGATGCTCACCAACGCTGTCACCCCAGAAGGTCCAAGAGGAGGAGAGAGGCAAGACTCGAAACCCAGACACCACCCCCAGAGGGAACACCTGGAGAACAGCTACTCCTTTACCACCGCCGTCTGGGGGCTGAACGGAAAGGCTTCCCGAGGTTCCACTAAGTTCTAAAAATTGAGTCTGATGACTACCAAGCTCCCAATGTTAAGAATGAGAGAGAAAACAGCCAACGGCGCAAATACACAGCAAGTCTCTAGAAAAGTGACCTTGATCTGAGGGTCGAGGCCCTGAGACCCCACGTCACTGACAGGGCCTGCGCCTCGTCCTGAACGCTCAGGTGAGTGTCATCCCTGGTGTGCCCCCAGCTCCAGGGCACCAGGTCTTCAAGCGCGTCCCCGCACCCCGGCAGTGCCCACTGGTATTTCTCCAAATCCGTGAAGCAAGCGCCGCGTCCTGCCCATCCCCCGAGGACAAGAACTTGGCGTGGCTGGAGCGTGGCGCTGCCCCCAGGCACCGAGGAGAGTGCTGAAGCCGCTCCCCCAGATTCTCCACACTCTCCCCGCAGCCACCCAGTCCGGCCACCCCACCGAGAACAGCGGACTCGGGGCCGGCCGGTCTTCGGGACTTAACCATCGACCAGACGGAACCTCCGACCACCCCCTGCCCCTGCCGCCAGGCCACCGTGCCGACCTCTCACCCCCCCGCCCCGCAACGAGTGAGCAGCTAGAAAGGCCAGCATGTCTGCTCACAGCTTCGGGACAGACAGCAGGGCTCCTCGGCTTAAACACCGGAGCACGCCACCCACGCAGAGGTGTGCAGAGCATGAGCGACACCTCGCTGCAGGCCGCCCAAGGGTGCCGCTGCCCTCAAAACCAAGGGGACGCAGGGGCGAAGCGCCAAGGCCACCCCGGGTTACTAACCAGCACCAAGGGCTGGTCACCCCAGCAAGTCCCCTGCCGGCGCCCATCAGCCCCATCACTGGAAGTCCGCCACCGTGCACCGGGGCCCCGACCAGCAGCACGGGCCCCACCCAGGCACGTCAGGAACACAGCCCTCGGGCCCCACCCAGGCCCACGGACTCAGAACCTGCGTGTCCCTGGGAAGGGCACTCCTACTGAGGCCCGGGACAACCTGCCCTGTGAGTCTGTCCGTCTGCTCCGCTGCGTGGGGACTTCCCACCCCTTGGGGCACACCAGAACCCCGGCTCTTCCGAGCCACATGTTTCAGACGAGACCGCTCCTGAGCGGGGATCGCAGCGAGAGCCTCTCCCCCCGCAGGGGACGCCGCCGAGCGCCCGTGAGCAGGCCGCGGTGGCCGTGAGAGCATGCCCTGCCGCCCAGGGCGGTGCGCTCACCTGGACCAGCTCGCTCAGCATGTCCACGTTTCTGAAGATGGTGAACCAGAACTCCGGGATGCCTTTGGGGCTGGGCTCCTCCGCTGCTGCGGCCTCTTTGTCCGCTATGACTACTTTGTTCTTCACGTCTCCCTGGAAATACAGACGCAGGACAGAACACTCACCACAAAGCAACACAGTGGCAGTGGGGTGGCTTGACGTGGGCACCCATTTCAGAATTCCACGCACTCTGCTGCCCCAAGCCCATGACCTTGGCATCTGCATCTCCGGGCCACTGAGCAGGTCACGATTTCAAATGTTTCCGGGGACAAAGCACTCAAGGCTCCCCCTCCAGGTGCAATCTCGGGATGTAACTGAAACTGGCGGGAGGGCCGAGCGGCGGTCCGAGGAAAGGCTGTGAGGAGCGGGCTCCACGAGGCGTCCGTCTGGGGCTGGGGACGTCACCCAGCTCCGCACAGCTCCCGGGGCCGCCGCGCCCGGACGACTGTCCCACTCCAGGACGGCGACGCTCATCATCCCGCCAGGCAGAGGCACCGTGTGAGCACGAGGGCGGGGGGCGGAAAGGCCTCGAGGCAATGTCGAGACCCCAGGGCAGCAGGGGAGGAGGCAGGGCCAGCACTGCACGGGGCCAGGGGGCCAGCGGCCGTGCCCCGTCACGGGGGACCTTGCGAGGAGGCCAGCCCCACGGGGCGTGTGACCCGGCAGAGGCAGCGTGTGCTTGAGCGGTGAGGGTCTGGTTCACAGCCACACTGACCCGCGGCCACGGCCTCAGCTAGGCCAGGCTCTACGTCTTTTCTAGATCAAAAACACGGGGCCACCGCAAGTAACGTGGACTTCAAGAACACCCCTAAAACTTAGTTTCACAGAGCAGAAGCCCGTCATCTCCCCAAAACAAACTCAGGCCAACGGAGTGAGCTTGCTAGCATGCCGAGACATTCTGTGGCCCTGGAATGGGACCCCTCACCAGAAGAGGCGACGAACAGGTGACGGACAGGGCACATCACCAAAAGGACCCCTAACTCATTCATTTCAAGCGGTGAAAGGCACCCTGGCCGGATGTTTCCACGCACCCCCTCCCCACAAGCCCGCTGGCTGGTGGCCACCAACCAGCACGTGACGGAGACTCCCGCCAGTGTGTCACTCGTCTCTGCTCAGGCGACACGACCCCACGCCTCACTGCGCACTCTGCGGAGGTGCCTCGGAGGGCCAAGGGGGGCGGGGGTGTGGGGCTCACTGCATCGCCCGGCGTGTGCAGGGAGGCGCCGGGCCCAGCGCTGCTCAGTGTGCATCCCCAGAGAAATCTCCACACCCGACCCGGGGGCACCCCTGGCGCTGTCGGCCCTTCTCTTTGCAAAGCCGCACAGGTCACTGGGAGGCGCCTCTTGCCTCCACCAGCGCTGGACCAGAACACACGGCGCACCCGCTAAAAACACAGCACGTCGACTTACAGCCAACTTGTCCTCCTCTTCGTTCTCGCTGTGCCACTCCGCTTCCGAGTCTGTGGGCTCGACGTTGCCAGTGACGAACTCCCTTCTCTAGGTGAGAGTGGGGCTTTCTTAGAGTCAAGGCATTCGGAAAGGCAAGAGTCAAGGCCACGGGTCTGTGAGCATCTACGGAAGGACTGTGAACACTGAGGCCCCTATAACTTACTTTAAGGCTCCAAGTCAAGAAGGGCCTAAGGAGGACCTTCACCAACTTGCTGCGTGACCTGGACGCTTCACCGCAAGGGAGGTGGGGGAGGTGCGACTGCCCAGGGTTAAGGACGCGCTACCCACCTTGTCGAAGAGAGGCTGGTACAGCGCCGCATACTTCCGCTCCAGGTCATGGACCTCCTCGTAGAACTTGGCCTCTATGTGAGCGCACTTCACCTGCAGCTGTTTCAGTGCGTTGATCCTTCTTTTTACCGCTTTAGGTAAACTAAAGAGGGAGTTAAAGAAAAGCTACGTTCCATTAAAATAAATTAAGGTTAACGTAGAATTAACACCCTTACTGTGAAAAAGAGCTAACCGTTAAGAAATGGACACACACTCTATTAGGAGAAAAAAGGTGGGGGGAGGAAGCCAAGAAGGTAATCTTCAAAATAAAAATAAACACAGAAGAAAAGTTTATCTTACAAAACGTCCGAAAGAGCATAGCTAGAACTCCCGTTCTCCCTACCAGGCGAGCAATGAAGAAAGGACCGGGCCCGGCCCGGCCCGGCGAGGCGGACGGAGCACAGGGCAGCCCGGGCTGCTCCCTCAGGAGCAGGAAGAAGGGGAAGACGGCCCTTGGGCCCAGGCATGCCCCCGGAGAGGACATGTCTATCCTCAGGGGACGGCCCAGCTCCGTGTGCCCTCAAGTCCACAGGACCTGCCCCCGAGCGCCCCGCGCCCCGGGGGGCTCCGGCAGACACCCCAAGGGAGCCCCAGGAATGGGTTACTCTCTTCTGCCGCCAGGCAACTGAGGGCCTCTCTGCCTGGCCACACTCTTCTAGGCTCTAAAAACACTGTAGCTTGTGAGCGTCACATTTGTAAATCGGGAGGAAAAAAATACTTTCAGCCCTTTCTCACAATCTGGAAGGCAGAGCAGATCCTTGGGCCCTGCCACAGACCAGACCACAACCGACCCACCCCACTGGCAGCCCGGCCCCACCCTCTGAGCCCCCACCACCCGGACTGTCCTCGGGGTGGAGCTTGCTAGTGTCCGCACAGCCCCTGTGCTGGGTCTGTCACACCCACGGCCACCTCAGGGTGAATGCTGTTCACAGACCCCAACAACCACCTCCCTGGGACTCGGGCAGGGGATGAGAACACGCAAGCAGCGGAGTAATAACTCAACAGAACAGGGACAGGCTGGCACCTGTGCTGCGTCTCTGCACCAGTCACATGCCTTTGAAACTTCCTAAAAACGCTTTCAAGTCTTCCTGGTGCCGTACAAGTAACAAAGGGCTCTGAGCAAACTAGACGTGGCTGTGCCCCGACTGTCCTGGGTCAGCGGCAGTGACGGCGCCCACCCCACAGACCCCGGCCCGCCGCCCAGCTTCTAAAGCAGAGACCCGGGAACTGCTGCCACTGGTGCCACTGCCGAGACCTCCTGAGTCGCCTCCAGGAGAGCCCTCCATCCAAGCCAGGCAGATCCCAAGGGTCCCCCGGCCCCCGCCGTGACAGCCTCGGAACACAGAGCTCCACATGGGGGACCACGGAGGGGGGGATGTTCAGAGCCTGAGCTGCACCGACCGCCGGGGGAGGCCCAGCAGCAGCCCCTCCTTACAGGAGGGGGACGGCCGGGCCTCAGAAGGGCCTTCCCTGAAGGCCCAGGCCCGCGTGCTGCAGGACCCAAGGGGAAACCGCAGGGGAGGGGCTCCCAGCTGGCCGGATCCAAGCGCATACCCCCCCCCCCCTTCCCGGCCACCTCTTCCCCGAGCCACCCCCACCCGACTCACAGGCTGGGCTGGGTCCTCTCGCACGGCCACCAGATGGCGCTGTGTGCTCACCTGCCAGGGACCCCCACCCCGGCTGCCTTTCCCCCATGGGTCTGGGTCCCTCCACCAGACTCCAAACCCAAGTAAGCTCACCCGGAACCCAGGGCCCTGCTCAGCAGGCAGCGCTGCCGAATGAAACACACAGTTTCTGTTCTAAGGAACAGAGAAGTCGTTTCTTCTTCGCTCCTGAGAGTTGCACCGTGTCTCCCCCGCAGCACTTACGTCTCAATGTAGCTGGAAGGAGTGTGGGAGACACTGTCGAGCCGCTCCTGCAAGGCTGCCAGGACCTGAGGGTTCTGCATCACCTGGTCCGTGAGTGTCTCTGGTCAGAGTTCAAGAAAAAGGCAGGCGGCCGTCAGATGTGCCCAGCCCAGAGCAGCCGAGGGCTGGGGTCACCAACTCACGACGACTCTCCCACGCTCGCCTACTTTAACTTCTAAACACAGCCGAGTGGCTTGTAAAGATGTGTTTTGAAAATATTTAAAATGCATTTCACAGGCCTGGGATATTCCCTGTTAATCACCTGCACGGGCAGTTAAAACCCACTGGAAGGCACCAAGATTTCCGGGTGTCGCCTCGGCTGGCCAGGCCCCAGTCTCCGACCGAGGACACCATCGCCTCCTATCACCTTGCCCCCCCCACCCCCTGCCCAGTCCCACGGGGGGGCCCAGAAGGCAGCACGGAGTACACAGACCGACGGGCTCTCGGAGCAGGTGCCCACTCGGGCCCGGCACGCAGCCAGGAAAGCCCAGCTCTCACCAGTTCCCTGGCGGCCGGACTTCCAAGTGCCCTTGGTGCACCTCCACCGGCAACACCCTCCTGCCCGAACCCGTCTCCTGCACAGGATGTGTCCTAACCAGCCCCTCGCAGAGGTCGCCTGTCTCCTCCGCCATGCTGCCTGTACAGCCCACACTCAAGGCACCAGCAGAAAGCGTGTGCCCCACCACCGCACGCTCACCATGGAGCTGAGCTGGCAGCGCCTGGCCCACAGCACTCACTCAGTGTCTGCAGGGCCGGCCCCCTCCCCCTCCCCCCGGTGCCCCAGAGACCCAGGCGCAAAGGCAGCCGGACCCGGCACTGGCAAGCGCTCTTTCTAACCCGGGGCGAACACCACCCCGAGGCACCGTGCTGAATGCACGCAAGCGGCACGCACGAAACTGGTCCCACACGCGCCCACACTCGCCCCCTCTAGCTCTGGCTACTGCAAGGCCAAGAACAGTGACGCCTAGCACCTGCGTTTTGGTTTTTAACTCTCTCCGCGGACACAGGGCCCCTTCGATAACTGGGAGCGCCCAGGTGTGGAGCGAGGGGAGTTCGAGAGAGGACAGTGGAACGCCGCTTGTGCCGCAAGGCGACTCAGGAGGGCACGGAGAGCTGACGGGGCGCGGAGGAGGACGCCGAGGCCAGCCCGCAGGCCCCGCAGGTCAGGCGGGACCGTGTGCACATCGGAGCGAGCAGCGGTGGCCACCGATAAACAGGTAACCCGTGCCTCCGCAGCAACACTGAAAGAGGGGGTCTTAACAGTGGCCGCACGTGGCAGGGTGTCAGGTTTAGAACGGCCCCCCGGCACCCACCAGGATCATCACTGGCTTGGCAAGGTCGTCAGGGGCGCTGAGCCACCGAGTGAGAGTCTGATGGAGGACAAGAGAGTCCGGTTATTTAACGACAGGACCCTCAGGGTGGAGAAGTCTGGCAGACACGGTCCTAACCGAGGCACCAAGCCCAGGGCCCGCACCGGGTCGCCTGCGAAGTGTGTGCCCCGAACCTAACGAGGAAACCAGCAGACCCACCCCCTCTGTGGACAGCACACACGACAGCCGCCCGCGAGGCCTGCTGCCCCAAGGGTAAGAGGGCGGGGGAGTGGGGGCAGTCCCACACAGGAGACAGACGGAATCACGTGCAATGCACGACCGCCGCTGGTCCTGGCTTTGCGTGTGGGGCGCAGTGCAGACCTGCTGGGGAAAGGGGCAACGTGAACAGGACTGCACTCAAGATCCCACTCAGATTAGGCTTCCTGGCGGCGGTCATGAGGGTTCACCTCAGTCTCAGAAATTCACCCTGAACTGTTCCAGGGGCTCTTTCAGCCGGTATATGTACAACCTGCTTTCAAAGCGTCCAGAGAGAGAAAAGCACAGACAGACTTGAAAACAGAGGGGAGAAAGCACACCCGTGAGTCGAGGGGCAAAGGATGCTACTGGGACGTGGCTCAGCAGTCAGGGAAGAGAAGGCACCAATGAAAACACTGGTCACTGGTCAGTCCACACGGACACCAAGTGACCAGAGTCTGTGTTTCCTATAATGAAAAAATTCCATCCCTGGCTGGTGTGGCTCAGTGGACTGAGCACCGGCCTGTGAACCAAAGGGTCACCGGTTCAATTCCCAGTCAGGGCACATGCCTGGGTTGCAGGCCGGGTCCCCAGTGGGCTGTGTGCAAGAGGCAACCACACACTGATGTTTCTCCCACTCTCTTTCTGCCTTCCTTCCCCTCGCTAAACATAAATAAAACTTTAAAAAAATTACTCATTTTCATTTTAATTAGTCTAACTCTTCCTAAAATCTTTCAATGCTTTGGTACTGTAATAAATGGCTCCAGGGCAGGAGGCCCCGCTCTGCACACAAACGCCCCAACCACTAGCTCCCCTGGGGCAGGGAACTGACCTGTGGCCCTTGCATCTCTCCCGGCCTCCAAGGACTCTGACGGAACTCCATCTGAAAAGCTGAAACAATGTGAAACAAAAGTATTACTGTAAAGAAAGCTCCAAGGACAAACAGCTCAGAGCATTCGTATTTCACCCCTTGGGAGATGTCTCAATGCTGACTCCACAGGTTACATGTGGGAGACTTTGTTATTAAAACACTTGACCACTTAACAACCCCATCATCCCCCCACCCCCACGCCACTCTTCACTTTTAACTTCCAACCTGGAGCCCTCTGGCTGGTGTGGCTCAGTGGACTGAGCACTGGCCTGCGAACCAAAGGGTCACTGGTTCGATTCCCAGTCAGGGCAAATGCCTGGGTGGAGGACCAGGTCCCCAGCTGGGGGCACATGAGAGCAACCGACTATGTTTCCCTCACACTGATGTTTCTTCTCTCATTCTCCTTCCCTTCCTCTCTCTAAAAGTAAAAAACTAAAATTTAAAAAAAAAAAAAAAAGTCTACCTGTAACTCTAAAAAAAATTTGCTCCCAGCTCTAAAACCAAACCCACCAACCCACCAACAGGAGAGGACTGATGGTGTGGAGGGCTGCTGACCACAGCTGAGCCAACCTCCCTCGGTGGGGGCAGCGCCCACAGCAGCCCCGTGAGCCAGCCACACGGCTCTGCGAGCAACCACCTCACGAGCAGGCTCTGCTCCTAGAGAGGCCCGGACACACCGCCCGCACCCACGGCGCACTGCAGAAACACTGCACGCCACACCCCAGTGGGACCCTGGGCACGAGCCACAGGACAGACCGCGCCCTGGGCCACAGGGGCCAGGACGTGAGGTGGGGTCGGGTCGGTCGCAGGGCTTCACCCGGCGGTGCTCCAGCCAGAGGAGCCAGAGGACCACTTCCCACTAGGGTTTCGGCCTCCGAGTCTGAGGCACGTCCCTGTGGGAGCAGCTCTTTAAGGGGCTCAAGGACACGGGGAGGGGGAGGGGAGAGCGCCGCTGGCTAGAGCATGAGACGTTTGTGAAGTGAAGCTTACCTGTTGCTCACCAACTAAAACTGAAACTCCAATAAACAAGGTCCATTTGGCTTACCTGTTATCTGCCATCTGAATGTTTTTGTCTCCTAGAAATTAAAGAAGAGTTGTAACAATTAACATTACTGAACATTTACAAACAAAAATAAATTGGCAAATGCTTTCTTTTACCAGCACTCCCCACACAGACACGACCCACTTTCTAGGAGGGGCGGGGGACTTTCTGGGGCGACAGGAATGTCGGAGACTGCGAAGTTGCTTACCCGGACGCGCACACTAGTCAAAACTCATCAAATTACACACTTAGGACCTACACACTGCAGTGTGAGTACACTTCACTCATAAAAAAGTTCTCTTGTTGGTACTAAAATGACAAGACTTCAGAATAGAAACCATCAATTCTGATTTGCCTCATCTCTAAGTTTCAGGAACAGGGATGTGTATGTACGCAAGACCGATCATTTCAGAGCGGTTCAGAGCGCTCCCTGGTGGGCGCGCCGCCGCAGGCGCACTCTGCACATCCTTATCCACCCCGGCAGGCGCGGCACACCCGAGAGACCCCCGCACCAGGCTGGCAGTTCACCTCCAGCTCAGGGGACTTGCACCTGTGGACATCAGAGTGAGGTTCTGGGACAAGCCCTTTTTAAAGAGCACTTGACAATGAAATGCCAAAGCCCCCCCTAAATGCAGAGAGCCCTTACACGAAAAACACAAGGCAACCTTCCTAACAGAGGTTCCTCATCTCGGACACAGCCAATGCCCCTCGGGTCTCTCTGAAGGTCCGCTCCGAGCCGGCCCCCGCTCAGTCTCGTTTGTGGGTACTTGAGCGCCACCCAACCCTCAATCACATCGCTTTCAGGTTAAACAAAAACCCTTCATGTTTCATAAAAACAGCTTCAACTGGAAACGATCTGCAACTCAACCACATTTTCCATCGGTAATTTTGTTTCAAAATAAAATGTGAATTATTTTTAACGTTCAAAATACTACATTAATTGTTACACTATCTTTTTCAGAAAACTAAATGAGTTAAGGGAGCAGATGAAAGCCATCCAGACAAAAATAACGCAATAAATGCAACAAATACGACAACGGCTGGGCTGGCCGTGCCCAGCACCTGGCCAAGTTAGAGCAGCGGCCCAACAGGCTTTCCAGGGTCCCTGCGCCTCCCCCACTCCAGGCCCCCCCAGGAACCCCAGTCCCGCCTCCCCACGCTTACTCCCAGCTCACGCTGCCCCGCGGGCTGCAAGGACACGCGCAGCCCTGCAGTCACAGGGTTCCCAAGCGTACTGTCTACTCTTCCACATAAATGTGGAGCGCAAGGCAACCTGATGTGCGTGGAGCGAACACACTTCCCACTGACTAGCTATTAAACACCGAGGGTTTCCCCTCTGATGATGTCTACGTCACCCCACGTCACTCTTATTTATGACAGCAGCAGGACCGCTGGGTCGGAGGTATGCATGTTTACACACCAGCCCCAGCTATGACCCGGCCACCTAGCTAAAGCTCTCCACAGTCTAACCCAGGGGTCCCCAAGCCCCCGGCTGTGGACCAGTACTGATCTGTGGCCTGCTGGGAACCTGGCCACACAGGTCAGCAGCAGCAGCAGCGAAGAAGCTTCCCTCAAATGACTGCCTCCTGCACCCCTGCCCGCCGTCCGTGGAAAACCTGTCTCCCCAGAAACCGGCCCTGGTGCCACAAAGGGGGGGGCCCGCTGTCTCGCACCCCGCCCGAAGCCCCTCCGCAGCCCCCCACACTGACTGCTGGGAGAAGGCGCTGCTCTCTCGGGGCACCGTCAGCACCGGCTTATCGGACAGACTCTGGAGTTCACCGCCCACCCAACCACCACCGAGCCACACCCAACCCCACCGCCTCCTGTGCCCGCAAGGGGCCTCCGTGACAGTGCCTGCCTGCACCGGACGCTCTCGGCGGCTCGCCCGTGGAGGGAGGGCCCCCAGAGCACAGGGGAGGACCGGAGGCTGGGACGAGGAGCCGCTGGAGCCGCGACCACCTGGCTAGGAAGACGCAAGCGTGGGTTTCTGCCGACCTAAAGTAACGGCGGGGAACGGAGGTGAGCTCGCACTCCTAGAGTGCGCTTGGGAACAGCAGAGGAGCTGCAGTTTGGGACAGGCAATTGGGTCAGGACCGCTGCTTTTGGGGGTAAGATTTTATGTTTTCTTTATTTTTAGACAGGGAAAGGTAGGGGAAAATAGAGAAACATCAATGTTTGGGTGCCTCTCACATGCCACCCCCACCCCCGGCCCGCGACCCAGGCATGTGTCCTGACTGGGAATTGGACTGGCGACCCTCTGGTTTGCAGGCCGATACGATGCTCCATCCACTGAGCCCCACCTGCCAGGGCACGGACCGCTGCTCTTATGGGCAGCGTGCAAAGGGGGAACACCCAAGCGGGGCCTGCGGCAAGTCCGCTGGCTCACAGGTGGGGAGAGGTCCCGGGCGGTGCTCACTGGTCAGGGGATGTCTCCATCTCCCGTAAACCAGGCACTCACACGACACCAGTCTCCAGTCCGTCTGTTTCATCTTTCCGAGTGGGCATGTGTGAGACCCTCCATTTCACACCTCGCTCCACTTTAGACTAAAATCCGCACATTTCACACCCAGACCCTCCTGACCTTCCCCTGCCGCCACCACCCACTTCACCCCCTGCAGCCACTTGCACCTGCCCCACTCAGGACCGGGACAACAGCTGACATCTCCGATCTCCGTCAGGGTCAGACCAGGACCCTGCAGGCCAGCGGCATCCCCAGACACCCACTGCTGAGAAGCGGCGTGCAAACGCCCCTCCCAGCCTGGACCGCAGGTGGTCCAGGGCCTGAAACAGCGTCTGGCACAGGCCAGAGAGGTCTGCTTGCCTTCCCTTGGGCTGACACCGCTCCAGTCCAGCGGACCGCCACGGTCCACTGATCATTGTCCATCTGCGTGAAGGCACGGGCTATTTCTCAATCCCACTGTTGGTGACATTATGGCAAAAGTTAACTTAAGCCAGCATTCCTAACACAACACAACATTCCCAATAAATAAATAAGTAAACAAATAAGCTAGATCAAGGACAGAGGAAAAGCCAGAGACCGAGTGTAAGGAACGGGGAGGCGGCAGCAAGCCCAGCACACGCTGTCTGGGGCGGAGCAGACCCGCGGTAAACGGCCTGCTTGGGGCCTGGGTATCAGTCCTGTCCCCACCGTCTCTGAGGCGTGTGGTCTCGGGTCAACGCCCATGAACCAAAGACAGAACCACACGCATGAAGTGCTGTGCCCAGTCCACGGCCCATTCGGGTCTCTCCCTACGCTCTCCACTGCAACGTGCTCACAGAGCGTCACGGCCACCGCTTCACGTGAAGCCGCCCGCCGGCTCGCACACCGCCCCTACACCGATGGGATGACGACGCAGGGGCGGGGCAGGGGGGGGTGGAAAAGGCAACCGAGTCAGACTATGAGAGGGACACTAGATGAAAGAGTATTCTGAAATTTCCAAAGGAGTCGGCAGCAGGCCCCCCGTGAGCCCGCAGCGCTCAGTGTGCGCCGGCATACACGTGTGCACGACCGCACAGGCGCACGCTCTGCGTTCTGTCACACCAGGTAACTCTCGGTCCTACCCACAGTCAACTCGCTTTTGCTCCAGCAACACACCTCTTCTCACAAGGAAGAGTTTTTAATTTTCCGTCAGCCCCGCGGCCAGGCTCGAGCCTCCAGCAGCACTTCCCCGGTCAGCTAAGGACCACGTCGGAAGGGACAGAGGAGCCCCACTGCTCTAGGGAGGAGCCAGGACCCCCCCCAAGAGGAGGACACCCCACGCCCCCACCCAGAAACCTGGCTGGTCCACACAGCCCTGGGACAGCCCCACCTCGCCCGTGCTGCTCGCACCAGCAGACCCTCCACCTGGTCCGGCACCCCGCTCCCTGGCATTAGAAGACAACCGGGTGGAAATCAGTATGCCGGAAGGGAAGTGAGAGCAAGTGCAAACCCCAAATCACCCAGACAAGTTCCCAGAGCGGTGGTAAACGTTCCTGCGGAACAACACACCCTCCACTTGCCCCTGTGACCTCTCACCGACCAACCAGAGAGGCCCGGGTTCTGGACTCACACAGACAGTCTTGGAATCATGTTCACACTGGTTTCAATCATACATAACGACATACATGCCCGCCTCCTTCCCTAGGCATTTATCAAAAATTTTAATTTAGCCCTGGCTGGTGTGGCTCAGTGGACTGAGCACCAGCCTGTGAACCAAAAGGTCAACGGTTTGATTCCCAGGCAGGGCACATGCCTGGGTTGTGGGCCAGGTCCCCAGTAGGGAGTAAGAGGCAACCACACACTGATGTTTCTCTCCCTCCCTCCTCTCTCTCAAAATAAATAAATAAATAAATAAGTAAGTAAGTAAACTTTAAAAATTATAAATAAAACAATCACATGCATGTTTACAGAGGAACTAGGACTGGCAACTAGTCAGTTAATGCAGCCACGCGTCAGGTACGAGAGCGCACGCACCAGCTTTGTCTGTGTGGAACCACTGCCTTTGTGACCCACGGGTTAAGACAAGAAAGGATGACCGGTTAGGCCTGTCTTACCCCTGAAGTGCAAGCCCCACCAGGGCAGGGACCCGTGTGCTCAGCACAGCGATCCCCGTGCCCAGCACGGGCCTGGGCAGGCCACAGTGGCCAGGCGGTGGCTCGCTGCCTCACTCATCTGCAGGCCGGCTCTCGGAGGCCAGGGGCAGCGCGCGTGCTGCCTGTGTGCGGCCGCCCCCCCCACACACACGCAGTTTTAAGACACAGAGGAAGCCACCCTGCTTACCAGACAAGGGCGGGCAGCCTTTTCAGAGACCTGCTCGAGGCCAAGCCCTGTTTTTAGGAAGAATTCAAGAACCTACTTCCTTCCCTTAACCAAAACACTCTTTGTACTGAGGGCACAGCAGGTCTTCATTGGCTACGGCTCCAACTTCCTCCTCTGCTCCCTGCAACTCACTAGACTCCACTGAGAAGGCAACGTTTCAAGTTTTTCTTACTACGACAGGAGTTCAAGACCCTGCCGCCCCGTCTGCACGGCTTTTCCCTCCCCACCCTATTTAAAACTGCACCCCCAACCCCTAGGGCCTCTGTCTCCGTTTCCTCTCAAAAGCACCTACACCGCCCAGCCCGTCCGTCTCTTGCTTGGGGGGGCGGGGGGGGCGGAGGTCTTCCGTCTCGTGGCGTGACAGCTCAGCGCCCAGAACGAGCACACGGATGTGCTCGGGGTGCCCACTTCTCTGTAACCAGGGAAACGAGGAACGCTTTAAACCAGAATACACTGCATTCTTACAACCTGTCCACATAACGGCTTAAAGCGTAGAGATGGCGCTCCTACCATAAGACGATGAAAGAAACCTCATCTTGTTTCTGGCCTTTTCAAGCTTTTGGGGGGATCATAGTAATAAAATGCACAGACGGGAAGCACACTTCAGCTACAGTAGCTGACAGAGCACACTTGTAAGAAGAAATGGAAGGCCACACACGGTCAGGACCAAGAGGTAAAGACCACAAAGGGACCTTTGGTAGTTTTCTCACTGCACAAACGCACTGCCTCTCCAGTTACTAAGTGCTCGTGAAACTCAAAGTTCAATGGCAAACAGAACAGTGGCCCTGCTTTCTCGCAAGAGGGCAGGGCAGGAGACCAGTGGCCGTCAGATGAACAATTTAAAAATCTGTGCCACCACCGACTTCTTATAAACGTGTAACAGTCCGACACAAAGTTTCCACTGCCCATCGGGAAGGGTCTCCCCGGTTACTGTGGGTGGGCTCGTGGAACGTCTCACGGCCGCAGTGCAGGGAGGCCAGTCAAAGTGCGCGAAGGCCCCCCACGAGCGATTTCCTGCAGCCAGTCCACTCCAGCAGCTCACGGCTTCTAGTGTCGCGCGAGGGAATGTCAGCCTTTTGCACCGGATGCCTACAAACACTTCTCGCCGCCGCCGCACTTCCCGCGCCGGCCAGCAGCGGGCGCCCGCGCGCCGGCTCCACGTGCAGCCAGATTCCGCGGATTTGGCGCAGCTGAGGGTCTCGCAACCCAACTCAAAGTGCTTCATCTCTGGAAAACCGTGACCTGCCCCCGCGGACAAAACCCCTGAACTCAAAATTCCACAGAAGAGCCTGATCATCTAAACGGCCAATTCCCGCACTGCAGCGCCCGAACGTTTTCAGAGGCCGAACAACCCTAAAAGTGACTTTAGAATCCTGTTTACCGAGGCTGTCAAACCAACAATGATAATCAGTTACTGAAAATAACTCCTGTAATTTCTCCAACCACTACTCTGCACTTGTTCTGAAAAGCAACGCAAAACTCAGAGAAGTGTTCGGATGTCAGGACGCGGAGGCGCAGGCCACCAACCGACACTCAGGCCAGACGCGGGGACCCGCCAGCAGGGACGGCGCCCAGGCCCGTGCTGCGTGCGGCGCTGAAATGACCGCTACCCCGTATTGTAACTACTTATTCTGAGAACAGTGATCGTCCTCATACCTAGAAAACAGACCTTAAAACCCCAGTGAAAACGTCCCCAAGGAACCTCGGGAAGGTCACAACTGCTGCACCTGCTTTGTCTAGAGAACGAGGCCCTTCTGTCCCTCTCGTTCTCCAACAATCTGGGCTTTGGAGTCGCATGTGTATTAACCAGCAAGGTCTTCACTGATGTTTTCGAGTCTCCCAGGAGGACAACCGTCCCTGTCCCCGAACCTGCAAATCAGCTCACGAGCGGAGAGGACTCGTTTGGGGGGCTTCCTTCTCCGGCCCGGCCGGCGCTGCAAAGGGGACCCCCCACGCGCCTCGGGCTGAACCTCCGGAGGGTGCCCCGGGCCCGCCCGCCGGCGCGGATCCGTTTCCAGAACCCACGCGGGCACGGTTGGCGGACCCACGGGAGGACGAGCTGGACACGACCAACCCGCGCGAGCGCTCGCGCACCGGCTCCGGCGCGTCCACGAGCGGACACAACTCGGCCGGAAGGAAAACTTTCATCCCCTGTAGGGAGGCGGCGGTGAGGCCGAGTTCGGCTGCCGGCGGGGCGCCCCCCCTCGGCCCCGCCTCCCGGCCCCGCCGTCCTCCCGGGCGGGGGCGCGGCAGCACCCGCCGGGCGCCCGGGAAAGGCTGGCGCGCGGGCACAGGCGCCGCCCCAGGTGTGCACGGCTACGGCCGCAGGGAGGCAGCGACTCCGGGGGACAGGCGTCTGCCCGGCCGGGCCGAGCGCGCACTCGAAGCACCGGCACGAGAGACCCTCCACTAGCCCCGGTTCTACCGGGGCCGCGCAGGACGGCGCGGTCGGCGGCCCGGAGACCGGGCCGGGGGGACGCGCACGGGAGCCACGCGGTCCGGACGGCCCCCGGGGGCTGCTGCCGCCCCCTTCGGAGCCGGAAGGCAAGCAGGAAACTTTCCTTCCCGGAACGCGCTCGGGCGACTCACCCCGCCTCCGAGGAAGGCGCTCCTTGTGTCTCCGGGGGGCGGGAGGAGGCGGCGGCGGCGCAGCGGCCCCGCGGCCAGCGCCCCGAGCCCGCCCTGCGGGGTCCTCCCTCCCCGGCCCCCCGCCGCAGCCAGGAGGCACGCGCGCGCCGTCTGCTCGTAAACAGACCAACCCCCGCCCGACGCACGTCCGGAGCCGAGCCGCCGAGGTCGCGCCCCGCTCCCGCCTCCACCTCCGGGACAGCGCCGGCTCCGACAACAAAGGCCCGCAGGCGGCTCCGCGCTCCCTCGCGAGCGGAGGCCCAGCCGCCGGCCCCGGCTCGCTCGGGCGGCACGGGAGCGGCTCGGCCAGCGACCTTAACCTTCCCGGGGACGCCGCGCGCGAACAAAGCTGCTCCTGACCTTCAGGGCCGCGCCGGGGGCGGGCGGAGCGGGGAGGGACACCCGCCGCCCGCCGGGCCTCGCCGCGAGCCCGCCGCCGCCTGCCCGGCCTCGCCGCGGGCCCGCCGCCGCCGCCGCCGCTCCCGGCTCCGCCCTGGCCGCCGCGGCCTCCGCGGGTGTCCCCCAGTCCCCGACCCCCGGTCCCGCCGGCCACCCCAGGGCGCCGTCACCCGGCTGAGATCCCGCGTCCGCACCTCACGCCTCCTGCGGCAGTAGCGGCGGCAGAGGCTTCGCTCGCTCCTGGGACTGCGCCGCCGTGGCCGCCAACAACGCTGTTTCCCATTGGCCGAGCTCTCTGTCTCCGCCCTCCTCGAGAAAGGTGGGCTGTGATTGGGCTGCTTCGGCGCAAGTCCACTGCGCTCCGGCGCCGCGGGCGAGGACCAATCAGAGGCTCGCCGCGATGCGACCCCGGAGCCGAATGCAAATTCGGGGAGCGACGCCGGCGGAGGCGCGCGCTCGCCCGCCCACTCTCCTTCCGCCTCATTGAGGGGCGGGGGCGCGCGGAGTCCACGTGGAGGGCAACCCGCCCGAGCGCCCTCTCGCGGGTCCCGCGTGGGGCCCCCGCGCCCTTCCCACCCTGCCGCTTCACCTCCACCCCAGTAACGCGCCGCGCTAGCTCAGCGGGCTCTTCTGTCTCCAGGACTGTGCCCGCGGGGGTCCTCGCACCCACGCACGCAGGGTCTCCCACCGGGCAGCGCCAGCCCCGCGCTTCTCAGCGCTCGCGCCTGCCGCCGGCCCGGGTGGACCCCTGCGGGCCAGCGGGCCCCGATGCGGGCGAGCGCAGGTGCCACCGGGGTACGGGCGACCTCACGGTGTGTGGAAGAGCGCTGAGCTAAGGACATCCGGAGTGGGGTGACGTTTGGGTTGGAAAACCGCATGGCCAGGCTTCGGCTTCTGAGCGCTCGTTTCCACGCTGTCCCTGAAACTGGGGCCTTTCTTTTTATTCACTTTCTCAGAAACTTTCCTTTTCGTGGGGTTGCCTTTGAAACAGTTTCGAATTTCTCGCAAAAGTGTGCCTTCGGCCCTGGCGGGTGTAGCTCCGTGGATTGAGCGCGGGCTGCAAACCAAAGGGTCGCCGGTTCGATTCCTAGTCAGGGCACATGCCTGGGTTGCAGGCCAACTCCTCAGTGGGGGGCCATGTGAGAGGCAACCACACATTGATGTTTCTCGCCCTTTCCCCCTTCCACTCTCTCTAAGTGAATAAATTAAAAATCTTTAAAACAAAAAAGTGTTCCTTCCTGTCCTGTGGTGTCCTGTGGCCTGTGGTGTTTAGGGGGTGGGCGTCTGGAGGCCCCTGGTCGAGGGGCTCAAAGACACAAGGTCAAGGTGGCCCGGGGGCCCAGGGCAGGACCCACACTTCCGAGCCTCGCTGCGGGTGCAGCTGTGACTCCTACTTACCTTACTTGGATCTTTGGACTTTCCTGTAACGACCCTACTTTGCTATCAGGCCGGGTGGGGCAGAGCTGGGGGGAAAGAAAGTATTTTCAAGTTGGGAGGTCTCTCCTGTTTAATAAAGGCTCAAATCCCCGGAGGAATCCGGTCCTGCTCAGACATTGGGAATTGGTACAGCTGGCATGGAGCTGGGGGAGCCCCTGTGGGAGCTGCCCACCCCCCACTAGTGGCACTTGGGAGGCCCCCCGGGGTGGGCAGAAAGCTGGGCCTGGTCCCTGGGGGATCCCATGAGGGTGGGGGACTGGCTGTGGCAGTGGGGCTTTCCCTGGGTCCTGTGGCCGCCCACCTTCCCAGGGAGTTGGCAGGGAGGTGGGTGGCCACGTCCACACAAGGTCTGTCTGTGTCAGTGTCGAGAACGCTGTTTCAACTCCCACAGCAAAGCGCCACAAAGCGGGGGCCTTAGAAAGCACAGGAGACGTGGCTTCTCGCCGGCCCAGAGGCGAGGATGGAGACCTGAGGGGTTGCAGGGCTGGGCTCCCGCCGAAGGCCCCAGGGGAGGGTCCTTCCAGCCTCTTCCAGCTTCTGGGGCCCCAGGCGCGCTGGCGGCCACATCTCCCCAGTGTGGGCCACGGTCTTCATGTGGCCTTGTGTCTGTCCCCCTGTGTCTCCAGGACACCCCAGTTACTGCATGGGCACACACAGTAATGGCCTCGTTTTAACGCCTGCAAGGACCCTGTCCCCCCATGCCCAGCACACAGGTGCTGGGGGTGAGGGCTGCACCCATCCCTGGGGCCGCCGCCTAGCATGATGAGGCGGTCAGGTGTCCTGGCCAGCAGGCCACACAGCGGTGAACTGCGTGAGGGTACAGGTAGCCCTGGGCCGGCCCCCAGGGCCCAGACCCCTGCTCTACCAACGCTAGCAGGATGGTCATGGCCAAGAGCCTGTGCCTCCATCTCCCCACCTGTAACCCGGGGGCACTTGGGGGGTTACAAGCAGGGGGCCTGCTTAGTGCGGCTGGGGGAGAGTCGGAACAGCCCCGGGCCAGCAGCCAGCTTGGCACAGGTGCCAGCTGTTGTGACCTCCCCGCCAGCACAGTGAGGGGAGGGGACCAAGTACCTGAGGACACAGGTCGGGAAGGGGGTCGTAGAGCTGAAGCCCAGGCCTGTCCTTTGGTGCCTGTCCCCCAATCCCCAGAAGTCTGTCCCATGTGCAGCTGAGCCTGCATCCTGCCCCACCTAGGTGACACCTGGTCCCCACTGGCCCTGGTGCTCCGGATGACTGGTAGCAGCCACCACGGGGCCTATACACTAAGCCCAGGGCGGCTCTGGGCTGGAGGGCTAACTGCTGGAGAGAGGCCAGGCCCGGGAAGGTGGAGCCCACACCCTCTGGCCTGCCCCTCTGGGGATCTGATGGGTTCGGCAGGAGACCCCTTTCGGGGGATTGTGGGTGAGATCCAAGCCCTCACCCACATTTTCCCTTGGTGGCTCCTGCCTGTCAGTGCAGCCCAGCCGGGCGGTCACCTCCTCCGAGAAGCCTTCCCTGAACACTCCCTCACCGCGCCCCCCACCTCCCCAGCTTCACTCCCTCGGGGTGCCCCGTGCAGGCTTTTCCAAGCGCAGGCACGTTCACGCGGCTCTGTGTTGTCTGTCCCTCCCCACCCTGTGTGCTACCCATGCCCACCGTTGGAAGGAGGAGGGCCGGGCAGGCTGGCACCCAGGGCCCAGTGGGAGTGGGTCAGCAGGGAGGGTCGGGTGGGCACACCATCTGGGGCAGAGAGCCCCTCGGAGGCTGGGAGGCGAGTGGCAGTGTGTCTGGGACTCACAGAGCGGCCCGTGTCCCCAAGGAGAGTGCCGGGGGGCCCTGCCCCGTGGGAGGTGAGCCTGGGGAAGGGGCCCGGGATGCGTTTGCAGGGCAGGGATTCGGGGGAGCAGGGCGGCGGCAGGCGATGCCGGGGCAGGCTGTCCTGGGCGTCCTCCCTGCAGGTGGAGGTGAGGGGGGCGCCAGGCACAGCGACACCAATGTTGCCATGCCAAGCGGTCCACCTGGGTCTGACCCTCCCTCAGATCCCGGGCACGGGGTCTCGGGGTCCCTGGCAGGGATGGGAGCAAGGGCCCCACACGGCCAGCTGTGCACAGAGCGGCCCGTTCCTGTCTCAGGGACTGAGGCCCCAGTCCTCACCCACCCACACTCATTGTGACTGCTTTTGACCCGTGTCACAGCCTGGAATGGGTGTATTTAAATGAAGATTTAAGCCTTCAGATGTGTGTTTCTGTTAAAGACAGCAAAACACAAGAATTGCTGTCTCTGTGGGTCCCCCGGGGTGGCCACCCTGCACCCCAGTAGCAGGGCGGCTCCATCCGCAGAGGGGTGTTCTCCCCAATCTGGATCCGGGTGTCCCAGGGCCTCGCTCCCTCTGGAGACTCCAGAGGGGGGGTCGGGCCTCCCCCATACAGCTTCCGGGGCTCCGGGCACCCCTCCGGCCTCTGCCTCTGTGGGCGTGTGTCTCCTTACAAAGACCCCAGTTGTGGGACTTGGGGCCCAGCCCCTCCAGCGTGACCCCTTTTCAACCTGACCACAGCTGCGGGGACCCTGTTTCCAGGTAAGTCACGTTGCAGGCGACAGTCTTCACCCCAGCGCGAAGCTGCTCTGGGAAACCTCGGGCAGTGGCCGCTGCGGGGCTCTCCCTGCAGACCACAGGTGGACAGCCACCCCGGGGGTCCCGGGTTCCCAGAGCCTCCCACTCGGGGATCGCCCTCGCTCACCTAGGTCCTGGCGATGTCCCCGGACACCTGGGGGGAGATGCCACCAGCAGCAGCAGCGCCACTGGCTGCCGGGGGACATGGGCTCCCAGTGTGAGGGACCTTGTGCATGAAGGCGCCACCCCACCCTGGACCACAGGCTTTGGGGACCCGCCAAGAGGCTGCTCCAGAGCCCCAGGCGGCGAAGCTGGTCCCCATTTCTCAGGACAGCCGGAAGGCAGGGGCAGGCTCCCGCCCCACCCTCAGCACACTGCCACTCCCAACGGCGTCCTCGCCTCTGCCCCAGGTCCTTCCACACACACGGAGCTCCGCTGAGGCCAGGGCCTCGTCTTCCTCGGGGTCGCCCAGTCTCTCCATGACCGCAGTCCCTTCTGATCATCCCGTCCCGGCAGCAGGGGCACCAGCAGACAGGTCTCTGCTGGGCTGGGTCCTGCCCTTCACCAGCCAAGGCCCTTGTTTCCGTGGTTTGAGGTCACGGCCCCATCCTCCTGCTGGGGGACGTCCCTGCCACCCCCATCCTCCACACTGCCCACCAGCGTGCAGACCAGCTCTGACCACGCCACTCTGCTGCTCCACACCCTTTCACAGCCCCCTACTGCCCACCCTCGAGATCGGAAGGGGCAGGCGGGCAGATCAGTTTGTTGACAAGCCCGCAGATGGTGATGCTAAGTGGGACTGGGGCTGAGAAGCGCTGGGATCGGAGCCCCTGGTGGCGGGGGGGCAGCCCAAGGCCTCTGGCCACGTGAGTTTCATCTTCCCAGCATCCTCACTGCCTCTGTCCAGCTCTGAGCTCCTGCCCACGGGCCACAGTCCCTGTGTGCGTGCCCCCTGCGGCCTCCCCTGCCGGCTGGGGCACTGGGCCGCCCTGCCCCTGCTCACTGCTCCCTGGCCGGCCTCCCTCGGCGGCCGTCCCTAGACCGAGCTCAGGACAACAGGCAAGGGCTCCTCCCCACTCCGACGGGACTGTGCCTCATCTCGGTGTCAGTGAATGACGGCACCGCCCCAGCCCACCAGTGTCCTGGGCGGACCTCATCGTCCCCACCCCCAGAGGAGGAAGTGGAAACCCAGGATGGGCAACTTCCCGAGCCCCACAGCTGAGAAACAGCCAGACCCAACCAACAGCCTGCAGGGCAGCAGCTTGCTGAGCGGCCCCCGGAGCTGGCAAAAGAGAGGGGGCCCCCAACGTCCCTCCACTGGGCAGTGGCACCTGGATTACGAGGCGCTCACGAAACGGGCACGTGGCGATGAGCAGGACCGAGCAGCCCCGCAGTGGGCTGGTGCACGGAGACGTCTCCGGTGTCCCTCGCAGGGACGCACAACCCGAGTGGATGTGCGAACCTCGCACCCTCGGAAGGGAGGGGTCCGGAGGCGTTCCCCAAACTGTGACAGGCCCTCAGGTGGCCTTGCAGGCACGCTCTGTCCCTGTCCCAGGAGTTTTCTGCATGATTTGATTTTTCGGTAATGAACCTGGTTTGTTTCCAGTGGAGACACCGAGGTTTGTTTTTCGGGAGAAGCAGGGGGACACACCTGGCTCCTGTCTGGGAAGAGGCTTCGCGCACACGGGAACACCTTTCACAGGTGAACCAGCATCATACAGTGACGGAAACTTCCGCCCTGCCTGCTGGGGGGCGTCACCACCCCCCGCCCTGCCCCTGCCCAGCGTCCTGGTGGCCACTAATGTGCCCAGCCCCAGTTGTGGGATCCTGAGAACGTTGTCAAAACCCAACCACACAGAACACACCTGCCAGGTCGGGGCTTCCCCGGGGCCCAGCGCCGTCTGACCAGCCGGCGGTTGTCACTCGTTTGTCCCTGTCCTCGTGTCCCAACCCCAATGGTTCGAAAGCTTCCCTTTCGGGCACCCGATGGTCCAGCTCCCCGCCACCCCCACCCCCGCACTTCTGCTGCGGGCCTGCACCGGGCCGGCTCTCGGAGGAGCGGGGTGGGACCCGGCTGTGCAGGGACTCGTGGTAACCACGGCCGTCCCGTCTCCGCAGCCAGGAAACGCCTATCGTTCAAACACCGAGTGCCAGTGCACGTGGCTTCCCCAGTTCGCGCGTGACGGCACGGCAGTTCTCCTCAAGGTCCCCGATTTCACACCCGGGACAGGCCCCACTGAAGACACGCAGCACAGCGGCGAGCTCCTGGAGGGAGCCCTTTCCCAGCGACCGTGCGGCTCTGCGGCAGACGGCACTTCCGAAACGGTGGCCGTGGTGTGTCAGGGTCCTCGCCACTCCCCTCCCGTGGGGGGACGCCACAGCGTCCCCTTGAGCATGGGGGTGCCTCCAGAAGACCCTGGAAGTCGGGGCATGGTGACTTCTGGGCCCGGACCCCCCCACGGGGCGGGCAGCGTGTCTCTCTAGGGACAGACACCTCTGGAGCTGCAGGCCACCCCAGGCAGCCCCAGGGCCGGGCGCCGTGTGCGGGCCATCTGGGTGGGGGTGGCCGACTGGCGCGGTCCGTCGGCCTGAACGTGACCATGTTGTTCCACCCACCACGGTTCTGGTGGCTTGTCGTGTCGCAGGGGGTGGCTGGAACGAGCTTGTGTCGCTGTCTGGGGGCCTGTTTTTCTTACTGGCTCACACGGAGCCCGTCCCGCTGCCTCCCAGCCACCGTGCCCCCCTGTGACTGCAGGTGCTCCTGAGCAGCGTCGACTGCCTGGGGACAGACACGTCACGTCACACTGCGCAGCTGTGTGTCCCGGAGAGCGCCCTGCCGGCGGGGCTGCAGCAGCAGAGGACACAGGGCCCTGCCACGCTCACCCACAGGGCTGTTGTCACACCCACGGCCGCGACCCGGATGGCCCCCCCACCCAGACAACATGGCCTTCTGTCCCCGGGGAGCCGACGGGGGGCTCAGCTGGCTCCCTCGTGGGTGGGGGTCAGGCCGGCTAAACCTGCTACCGCCCAGGGGTCGCTCTCAGCCCTAGTGAGCAAGAGCCTGCGGGCAGCTGGTGAGGGCCCGGGGACCCCGGCTGCCCTGCTGTGTGCAGACCGCCCCCTTCTGGACCCCGGCCCCGCTGCCGCCGTGACCGGTGTGCTGGGCAGCGGCCAGGGCCCACCTGCTGAGCCGGCTGCGGGCGGCAGTGCGTTTACTCCTCACGACAGGAGGCCGCCCGAGCAGGCCTGGTGTGGGGCATCCGTGGGTCCGGTGGCCTGAGCCGCCTTTTCCTGCCCCAGGCCGCCCCAGGGGCCCACACGGCCACTGGCTGACAGCAACCTGCCCGGCGTGGGAGGGCGGGGCGCGGGGTTCCTCGGCTGGCTGAGGCAGCTCAGGGGCGACCTGCCGAGCGAGTGGCTGCTGGCCCCAGTGCTGCGCGTGCGGCAAGGACAGAGAGAGCGGCGGCTGGGCGGTGGGGCAGACTTTATTGCTGTGGTCCCTGGGCCGGCGGCGGCAGCCCGGCCGGGTGAACAGACGCCAGGGCCAAGGGCCCGTCCGTGAACACGCTGGGGTGGGGTGCTGCCCCTGCCGGTGCGGGGTCGCAAGGCTGAGGCTCGGGCAGCGCGCCCGGCCCCTGGCCTGGTCACAGGACGCCCCCGTTCTGGACCATCTGCAGGTACTCCGTGTGCAGCTTCTCCTGGGCCTCCAGGAGCTTCCTCAGCTTCTTGGCTTGTCCTTTGCTCAGCTCCTTGCCGTCCGCGTCGTGTGTGGGCAGGCCCTGCGGCAGCGAGAGCACAGGCGTCACCGAGGGCGCGGACCCCTCCGAGCCCGGGCTCCTGGGTGCAGCACGCCCGTCCCTGCCGCCGAGACCAGCCAGGCTGGGGCGGCCTCCCGCCTGGGGTGAGGGCCGCGCCCCCAGCAGTTCCGAGGTGGCTGGCCCAGCAGCGTGGAGCGAGGGTGCCCAGGCCCCTCAGGGGCCTGAGGGTGTCAGACAAAACGAATGGCCGAATGAAGAGCCCGGGCAGCGGGCAGGGCTGACCAGCTCGGGAGGGAAAGACCCGCAGATTCTCTCTCGGGCAGTCCCGCTCGGCTCGGCTGTGGCGGTGGAGCGGGAGTGGCTGCAGGCGCCGGGCCTAAAACAGGCGCCCGAGGATGCCGCCTCCCTTCCAGCCGCTCCTCACACAGAAAATCTGCTCCCCGAGGTGACAGGTGCCGTCACCCCATTTGGTGGGTCCCACATGGCTCTGAAAAGAAAGCGGGTTCTTACGTTTTCATCAAACCTGGAGTATTTGTCCCGTTCCGACAAGAACAGCTCACTGGGCGGGATCCTCATCTTGGCCAGCTTGGCCGCCTGGAGCAGAGACACGCGGTCAGCACCACAGAGCCCACGCGGCCCCCCGGCCCGCACGCCCTCTCCCAGCCCCGCCCCGCCCGGCCCCCGGACTCAGGACTCAAAGGCGGCCCGGCAGGCAGAGGGAGCAAGCGGACAACGGACCCCGAGTGGGTGCTTTCCTGTGGGGACAGTGGAGTCTACAGGGGCCCCGCGGGGGGTGGTGCCCGGCACAGGGCAGCTCCCTTGGTGGGGCTGCTGCCTCCCGGGGTGTGCGGGGCGTGTGAGAAGGGCCTGGGGGGCGCCGTGGGGGACGGGGGCACAGGGAGCAGAGGCCACGGGGCTGAACCCCACCCCCAAGCATTACCTCTTGTTCTTGCTTTTTCCTGGCGGCCTCCTCTTTCTTCTTCCTCCTTTCCTCCTCGACCTAGGGGACAGAGCGCAGCCCCTGACTGGGTCCGCCCTAGGCACCCCTCTGGGTGGGGGGCGGGACAAATAAGGACCCTGCTGTGCCCCGGGGCGAGGCCCGGCCCGCCCGGTGCTTGGGGTTGAGCCACTGCGAGACTGGGCCCCTGCTCTGCACGAAGGGCAAACGCTGGGAGGCCCAGCACACAACCGGAAGGGGAGCTGGTCAGGGAGGGCTGCTGTCCACGACAACCAAAGGCAGCAGGCGAGGGCCTGGAGTGTCTCTGGGGCCAGGGAAGCAGCCTGAGTTAATTCCTGGGTGAAGGGCGGTGGGGAAGGGGGGTGGGCGCTGCAGGCGTGGCTGGAGGTGCACTACTTCCCAGCCGGCAGGCCAGGCGACATCCCGGGGGTGAGGGTGGTGGGTCCTGGAAGGAGGGGTGGGACCGGGAGCCTCGGGCCTGGGTGTGGGCCAGGAGCCAGCAGGGCCGGTAGGGGGTGGGGGTGGGGGTGGCCAAGGTTGCCTCGAGACGTCCGTCCTGCGCCGTTGCATGGACAGAGAGGAGGCCACCAACAGGAAGCCGACACTGGTTTGGGGAGTCGAGACCACACGCTCCCCCTCGGACACCTGGGGCTTCAGGCGCTTCCTGGCCTGGCGGGGCTCTCGGGTGGGCAGCTGGACCTGGGAGTCGGGGCACAGGCGGGCTTGGGACCAGGGGCAGTCCTGAGAGCCCACGGGGGCCGTGGCTGCGGGCCGTGGAGATGGGCCTGCTGGGTGGGAAGCGGGCTGGCAGGGTGGCTACAGCTGGAAAGCTGGGGGGGTCCCCTGCCCCCGGAACAGGGTGTGTTTATTCATCTGCTGGGGGGTGTCCAGGGTGTGAGACGAGGTGCCAGAGAGGCCTGGGGCTTCAGGTGCTCCCACTGCCTGCAGCTGCGTCACCCGGCAGGGGGGCCACGCCCTGGGGACTTCCTTGGGTTGTTGAGCTACCGGCAGGAAGGCTCAGCCGCCGAGGGGACGCTCCCCATCCCCCACCCCCCAGGACAGGCTCGGGGCGGGCCGGGCAGGGCCAGTGAGGGGCTGTGTGCGTGCTCCTCCTGAGGCACCGCCCGCGGCCCCGCGGCCCCTCCGCGGCAGGGTCCCAGCGGGCCTCACGCTGCGCTGCCCAGGGACAGGCACGACCCCAACACAAAACTGGGGAGACCGAACGTGACGGAAATGGTGTTACAGGGTGCAGCCAAGAGGGGGGACCCCAAATAGGCATTTGAAATGGGATCCAGAACTCAAGGTGTCCAGGAGATTTTAGGATGTCTTCACCACGCCCCCAGGTGTTGGTTGGGGGAAGAGACAAGTGGAGCAGGGCCTTTGAAAGCTGTTTCACATAGCAACAGCCTTGCAGCTGACCTCTGGCGTGGTCATTTAACATACCTATAGCCTTTGGCTGGTTGCTTAGATATGTTAAATAGCTGTGGCCATGCTCTGAGCCACGGGAATGGAAGTAACTTCCCCACCAAGACGTAACTGGGGGGCAGGTCCCCTGAGTTACAGCACCTGTGTGGGAGCTCGGAGAAGATTGGCTCCCTGACATGGGGCCACACCTGCCCAGACCCACGATGGCAGCCCAGTAAAGCTAGAAGAATATGGGAGTGCTGGCATGTGAAGCCGAGTGTGGGAGGAGTCGGAAATGGGGCTGCAGAGGAAGACTGGCGTGGGGATTTAAACTGAGAGGTGGCAGCCTTTGAGGGGGAGAACCATGCAGCTGTGGAAGTGCAGAGAAGATCACAGCTATTGAGGAGAGAGAACCACACAGCTTTAGCAGAGTGGAGACTCCCGCAGCCCTGCAAGAGAGAACCACGCGGCTTTGGCAGAGTGGAGACCCCCGCAGCTTTAGAAGGGGGAACCACCACCTGGTTTTAGCAGAGATCCCGAAGACCCAGCGGAGGGTGCCGGGAACCCAGGGAGGTCTCCCAGTCGAGATGGAGTACTAACTGGGAAGAACCAGGGGACTGCCTGAGCCATGGACTTCTATTTCCTTTCCTGAGATACGGTACTCTGGACTGGGCAAAGGGGGAAGGAAGGAAGGACTGTGTCTGTGGATGTTTTAAGGGACTTGAGGCTTTCTGATAAAGACATTAGGCCACTACTCTAAGTCTGTATAGCACTAAATAAACATTTCCTTTCCTTTTCACAAATCTCTGGCATTGAGAGACGTCTTTCCTCTGGCGGCGGACATGACGGACCTGGGGGCTTTTTTTTCAATAATAGTATATCGTCCCAGGCCCCCCTTGTTTGTTCTGTAACAATGGGGGGAGTCACGTGGGCAGATGCCAGCCAGCTGCTCGACCCTCCCAGCGCAGGGGCTGTGCAGGAGGCTCCCGGGCCGCACTCCGTCCAGAACGCCCCTGGTGCCCCAGCCCCTCGCTCCGCCGCCTCCCGCCCAGCTCCTCTCCGGCCCGGGCCTGCCTGACCAGCCCCCCCGGCTCCGCTTTCTGGCCGCCCCCCCCGCCCCGGGCCCTTCCTGGTCTCCACACTCGCTCTTCACGGCGCCCCCTCCCATGGTGCCCGCCCCCCACTTCCTGCGGGGCGAGGGGGCCAGGGGCCTCTGTCCCCACCATCTGCGTCCCCACGGGCACCACACGAGCTGCGCCCAGCAGTCCTGACACGTCCGGCTGCGTGTCCCCGTCTCCCCTCTGCGGGGCACCAAGGGCTCGGAGGGCGGGGGCTGTCCTGACCCACGGTGGCCCGGGGCCGCCCGCCTGGCCCTGCCAGGGAAGGCACCGCGCTGCCCGGGCGCTCGCTCGGGGAGGGCGGGCCCCACCCCGGTGACACGGGAGCCACCACGTCGGGCAGGAGCAGGGGGTGACCGAGCCTGTGGGCTCCACAGTCGGCTCCAAGTGGCTACTCTCCCCTCAGAGCCTGGGAGTTAGGTCACAGAAAGCGGCCATTCCTTGGAAGACCAATAAGCTTTTTTCTTGTTACCAAATTGCCAAGTAGTTACCTAGCTTGTTATTTCTTCCTTCTGACATTTACAAATCCCGGGATTTTAATACGAGTGCAAAACCGACTCTTGCCCTGGCCGGGTGGCTCAGCTGGGGGAGCGATGTCCCATGCAGCACAAGGTCAGGGGTTCGATTCCCGGTCAGGGCGCATGCCTGGGTCACGGGTTCGACCGGGGTGGTGGGGGGTATGTGTGCAAGAGGCAACGGACTGATGTCTCTCTCTCACATGGATGTTTCTCTCCCCCCTCCTCAAAATCAATAAATGTATTCTCACCTATCACATTGAAACACAGCGAAAGAAAACCAACCAAACAAAAAGCCCCAAAGCCAAGCCTTCACAGGGCAAAGCCCACAGACCCGGGGGCGCCCCTTCCGGTGGCCAGCAGGCGGGCCGGGCGGCCGTGCTCACCCTTTTCTTCTCCTCTCTCTCCCGCAGCAGGGTCTCCCTGTCCACCAGCTTCACCACGGTCGGCAGGCCTGGAACGGCAAGTGTCCGGGAGGGAGGCTATGGCCCGGGGCCATCCGTCCGTCCGTCTGCCCCGCCCCCCTGCCGGCCCCCCAGGCGTGCCCGGCTCAGCACGCCCTCCACCCCGGCTGCCATGCCCACGGGCCCCCTTTCTCGCTGCTCCTGACAGAAAACCTGCAAATCATCCCGTGAGACGCGTCACCTGAATCTTTAAAACCTGACCATTTCCTTTCCAAAGCCAAAACACAAGCGGTGGCCCTCGCTGACCATCGTGTGCCACAGGCTGTCTCCTAAGTGACGGGCCCTAAGGAAAGGTGGCCGGTGGCCCAACAAGAGCAACGGCCATCGGGCTGCAGGAGGGGACGCAGTGACGCCTGCCAGCAGGGGGTGCCGCGCCGGCGAGGACCCTGGGGTGGTGAAGGTGGGGGGCGCCCTCCCAGAGAGCCGGGGCCCTGCTCCAGGACTCTCCCAGACTCCTCAACACGGAAGGAACGCGGCGGCCTGGGACCCCACGCCGGGACCTCCTCCTGCCACTAGCACCCCTCCCGCCTCGCTGCCCCTTGGCGGCGAACGCTCCTCGCCGCCGCGAGCCGCCGGGAACCGCGGCGCAGACGCACCTTCGTGGTCCTCCAGCCGCACTCCGAGCTCGGGCAGGACGTCGTCCCGCAGGGCGTCGCTGAGCTGCAGGACCTCGGGCACTGAGCACAGAGAGAGAGCGGCTCAGGGGCGGCCGGGACCCATGGGACGCGCGTGTCCCCGGACCTCCGGAGGGAGCCCGGCCGCTCGACTTGCTGCCACCCCAGCCTGGGTCTCGCCCCCAGGACGGCCCTGCCGGCCCTGCCTCAGGACTCGCTCGGAGGGTGCGAGACTGGCCCCGGGACTCCCCGGCGGGCAACAATGTGTGGGGGTGGGGAAGGGGGGGCGCACAAGTCGTGTCCATGGAAACTCGATCCCCCTGCGTGGGAGCAAGGCTCAGCACGCACCACGTTCCTGCCTGGGACCCAGACCGCCCAGGGCATGCGGGCTGTGGGCCTGTGGCCTGAGGCCACCCAAACGTCCTGGAAAGCCCCTCCCCTTCACTCTGCTCTGAGCCACCTGGCCCGGGAGTGCCACGGCTCCCAGCAGGCACTGGCTGGCGACAGCCAGAACGGGCCGGAGTGAAGGAGGTGGCTCTCTGGGGACAGACACAGCTCTGGGGGCTGGGGCGACCCCCGAGGTGCCAGCAGCTCTCACCAAGAGGCCCTGGTCCAGCGGGGGTTACGGACGGGCCAGAGGCTCGCGGGTAGAGGCAGGGTCTCATGCCCCACCTCAGGGACTTCCACCAGCTCCGCTTCAGCCAGGCCTTGCGCACTGCTGGCTGGGGCGGGGGGACGGGGGCTGCGAGGACCCGGAGGGCTCGCTGAGGCCACCTGGGGACAGCAGCCGGACCAGGGCCCGCACAACCTGGGTCCCAGAGGCGCCCAGGACGCCCCACGCGAGAGAAGGACCGGCCTGAGAGTCAACAGTGCCGACGGTGTGAGCGCCCCCCAGGGCCGGATGCCGGCAAGGAGGCGCAGGCCCGCGGGCCGGCCGGGCTCACCTTTCCTGTCCCGGGCGATCCTGCGCACGCCCTCCCTGAAGTCCGACAGCGCCTGCAGGTACGGCAGCACCGTGCTCTCGAGCTGCGGAGAGAGGGTTTCCTGTCTGAGAGGGGCCCTCTCAGGAAAGTATCACACCCAAGCCCGGCGCAGGCACGGCCCAGCCAGTCGCCAGCGGGCACGGGGGCCCGGGGAGCAGGGAGGTTTCCCCGAGCCGTCCAGCGGGAGGGGCGCCGCGGGCCGTCTGGGGCCGAGGCAGGTGTGAAAACGCCACCTCGCAGGTCCCACGCGCCTTCCCGGGTGGGCAGTTCCTGACAGGCCGGACGCCACCTGGCCCCCACAACCGTGTCCTCGCCTGCCATCCGCACGCACACACACGCTCCCTGCTGGGCCATGGGCCCGCGCGTGGAAGTAATAGCTTCCGGAAAACCTTGTCACACCTGCCAGGTTTTCCATCCGGCCTCTGGGCCAGGTCTCCCGGCCTCTCCCGTCACCTGGCAGCTTTGTAGCCAAAACAACAGTTAAACACAAAAGCCAGCGAGGCCGAGGAGCCTTCAGGAGACAGTGCCTCCCTGGGCCGACCCTGCACGTGGAGAGGGGCGCAGCCCTATCCCTGCACCCACGCAGGGAGACAGGGGTGGGGGCCCCGCTACAGGGAGGGACGGCGGCTCTCACGGCTGCAGCCTCGGCCAGCGGTCCAGCTGGCCGCTCGGTGCTGAGCTGCTTCACGACTCGGGAGCGGCCTCCCTGCTCCTGAGACAGTTGGGTGTGGAAGCGAACCCTTGAGCTTCAGATGGCGGGGACTGCGCGGCGCCCTCGGGCCCAGCTGCAGGCTGCACCCCACCCCCAGGGCAGCGAACAGGAAGATCACATTTTCATCAAGCGCAGAGGTGGGTTGCCTGTAACCCAGGAGGGCTGTCTCTTGAAGGAAGTAAACACCCGGAGTCGCCGGCACGAGAGGACAGCACGGCCGTGCGGCTTCTCTCCCTGAGAAGCACGAAGGGGTTCCCATGGGCCTGGCCCAGGAGAGCCTGCGGCGAGGAGCTCCCGGGCCGACAGAAGCTGCAGCGACGCGGGCGTGGGGCCCGGGGTGGCGGCAGCGTTCCTGACAACACGCCGCCTAGGGGTGCCTGTGAGCCCCACCGAGGGCCTTCCTGCTGCCCTGCCCTTCGCGCGGCATCCGACTCCTGGGGGCGTCTGAGTGACAGCTGTCCCACTCCAGTACTCAGGTCACTGTGACCATCCTGACCCCTCAGTAACAGGGCGTCCCCGACTGGGACAGGGCGCAAGCGCGCCCCAGACAACCCGAAGGTGCCCTGGTCACGTGACGGCTGTCCCGTAGCGGGACCGTGTGGGTCTGTGCCCGCGCCAGTCGCAGCGACCACAGGCGTGTTCTCTCGCGAGGGTCCACGCCGCCACGGGCTGCGGCCTGAGCCAGGCCTGGGCTGCGCCCTCTGGTCCGGCCTCCTGGGACCGAGCTCTGACAGATGGCACAGAGGCGCCGGCCCCGACAGGCGGCCCGGTAGGAAGGCCGGCCCCCACACGCCGCTCAGCACACGTGCACTGGTGTGGCCCAGCACGGGAACCAGGAACGGGGGGAGCAGGTGTGGAAGGCAGGAGGGTGTCCCCTGCAGGGGGCACTGTTTCCCAGGGGGCGGGTGACCAGCAGGCGGGCGGCAAGGACTCAGGCCCAGTGGGTGCACTCACGTTCAGGCTGCTTCCAGGCCCTCCGACAGGGAAGCCCAGGGCGCTCTCCTCCTCGATGGCCCCGAAGACCTGGGGGGAGAAACAAGTGTGGGGGGAGAGTCCCGAGAGCTGGTGCCCGCTGGCCGGTCTGCACCGCGGGCTGCTGCACATGAGGGCCAGGTGGCAGGTCGCCCTGAGGTCAGCCTGCGGCAGGGACCCCAGACCTGGCCGGCACGCAGGTGCACAGGCCGCACCAGGTGGGCCCCGGGTCAGAGCCGGGACTGCAGCCCGAGTCTGCTGGCACGGGGGCCAGAGCACGCCCCGCCCAGCACAGTGTGGCCCCCGCGCGCACGCACCTTCAGCATGTGCGTGAGGTACAGCGCGACGTTCTCCAGCAGAGCCCGGTTGGGCCGCCTCCTCGCGGCCTTGCGGGCAGCCATGTACAGGTTGCACTGGCTGACCAGAGCCCTCATCTCCTCCAGCGCGGTGCGCGTGTCCACGTTGTCGCAGAGGGCCTCGTGCACCGCCGCCTTCCTGCTGAGAAAGCTGCGCGGGGGGCCGGGGGGCGCGTCAGCACCACAGCCGCAGCCTGCCCGCTGGCCGGGCAGCAGGGGTCAGGGCGCGGCTGCGACCCCGGGGGAGGCTCCCCCTCACCTCTCGTTCAGCTCTGCCTCCTCCTCCCCCCACTTTTCGAACTGGCCGGGGATGTCGGCGGGGGCGCGGAGAACGTCTTTCACGTTTAAGAAGAACTCCTGAGGTCAGAGAACTCCGCTGAGCGGCACACCGACGAAGCGCAGCCGTATCGAGGGGCTCTCCCCCGGGCGCGGGCTGGGCCCACACGCGCCGCCCGCCCAGCCGAGAGGGGATGTGGCCCCTTCGCTCTAGCCGGGGCGCATAAGCGGCTGGAGGACAGCGGCCGGCACCGGCTCTCCCCACTCGCGGGCCTCCGCCCGCGCCCCGTTCCGGTCGGAGGGGCAGCACGCCAGCCCGGGGCACTCACGTTCAGGAACCTCTCGTACTGCAGGGCGGACTCCATGGTGTTGGCCGAGTAGTCCAGGGTGTCCTTCCACGCGTGCATGAGGAAGGCCAGGCGCAGCTGCCTCGCTGTGGGGGGAGCAGCCGGGCCCTTACTCCCCGAGAGCCCCCGAGGCCGGCCCTGCGCGTCCCGGAGAGGGAGAGCAGCGCCCGCCCGCCCGCCGGGAGCGGCTGGTGCGCACCTGAGTGCTTCTTCAAGGCGTCCTTGATGGTGACGAAGTTCTTGAGGGACTTGGACATCTTGCAGCCCGCGATCGTCAGGTGGCCCGTGTGCAGGAAGTACCGCACCCAGCAGTCATTCTCAAAGTAGGCCTGGGCGGGGGGGCGGCCACACGGCACGGGTGCTGAGCCCGCGGCCCCGGGCCGGGCCTCCCCGCCCCCACCGTGCAGGCGGGAGCGGTGCTGCCTCTTCTGGGTGGGCCCCGGGGCTCGGAGGGGCCGCCTGGGCCAGCCCCCCGGGAGGTAACCCTGGCTCCCACCTGGCCTGTCTGTCCCCGAAGGAAATGTTAATGCGGGAAGCGGGCCTGGACATGGACAGTTAGGGTTCAGCTTTCTTGCTGACGGACCCCCGATGGGGGAGCCGGGCTGTGTGCAGACAGCCAGCCACCCCCACCGCTGCTGACGGGCCCCACCGACGCTGCCCTGCCCGGGCGTGGCCGCCAGGCCCGCCCCCGGGAGCACGCCTACCTCCGACTGCGCCAGCTCGTTGTCGTGGTGGGGGAAGCGGAGGTCAAAGCCCCCTCCGTGGATGTCCATCGAGGCGCCCAGGAGGGTGCCCGCCATGGCGGAACATTCGATGTGCCACCCCGGGCGGCCCTGGGGACGAAGCAGCCCAGTGACCGGCCGGCCCACCCTCCCTCCACTCCCCCGGCGTCTGGAACCTCCAAGCCCCTGCGCTCTCCTGGGGCAGCCGTTCAATTCCACCTGGAGACCAGGGGGGCCACGAAGGGGACCCGCCCACGCTGCTCCCCGCGGCTTCGTGCCGAGTCCGTGTCACTTCCCGACGCCCCCGCCCGCAGCTCTGGGCCATGGGGACCCTGTCACAGGGCACGTCATGGGGGGCTTGGCCCCAGGAGTCCATAGAGCTCAGAGTTGAAGCCCGCCGGGGCGCAGGGGCCTCCGTGGTGGTCCCGCAGCCCGTACCCCCGCTGCAAGACGGGCAGACAGAGGGCCCGAGGGGAAGCGAGCTGCCCCCAGGCCCTCGCGGCCCCGTGGCACGGGGACCTGGAGCGGGGCAGCTGTGCGTGGCACTCGCGAAGGACCCTGCCCGCCCCACCCCCCTCGCCCCGGCCCCGCGCCCTCTCGGTCTCACCTTGCCCCACGGGCAGGGCCAGGACGGCTCCCCTGGCTTGGAGGCCTTCCACAGGGCAAAGTCGTTGGGGGACCGCTTCTCGCTCAGGCGGTCTGCCGAGACACTCAGGTCGCCTGCGGACGACGCGAGGGGAGGGGTCACTCAGCGTGGCCTCGTGGGCGAGACCACCTCACTTCGGGGCCAGCTTGAAGAAGGAGTTTTTCATCCCCGCCCTAGGGCACTTCTTTCGTCACGTTTTGAGGAGGGGACAGAGATGGAGAAACACCGACCGGCTGCGTCCCATCCGCCCCCTGACCGGGGATCGAACCCATGACCGTGTGGTGCACGGGACGACACTCCATCTGGCGGAGTGCACTGGCCAGTCCCCCCGACTGCTGTCCATGTGCAACTGTGGTCAAATGTGCCTCCGTGTCCCTCTGCCCCAAAGGGGTGTGGCCTGTCCCCACGCTCCGGAGCCGCTGACCCGCTCACGGGCCCATCGCTGAGGGCCCGGGCCCTTCCACGCCTGCCTTTCCTTGGACGCTCGTCCGCTGCCCCCACAGCCTACGGTAAGCGACGGGCTCTGGTCTCAGGGGAGGTGACGTCACGGTGGCAGCCCGCGGGCATGCCTCGGGGCCCTGGCTGGGCAGGGGTTTTGTGTCGACAGCCTGCCGGCTCAGCCGTGGGCCAGGGCGGCGTGTGGGGCCATGAAGCCTCTGTGTGCAGCTTCCCAGGCCTGGGGGTGGCCCGTCGGGACAACTCAGTGACCCTCCTGTGTTCACAGACGGGGAGGTGACAGGCAACGGGGAGGAAGCCGCAGGCCCCGGAGGGCAGACGAGCCGGTCACCCAGAAGAGGGAGCACGGTCGCACTGGGGACGTGTAGGCCACGTGTCGGGCCCACGGGACACTCCTGAGCCTGGGAATGAAAACCCGCCTGGCGGCCCCGCCTGCTCACAGAGTCCCGTGGTCACGGGGTCACAGGGAAGAGCTGGGTGAGGGGGCTCTGCCCACACCGAGGTAGACGGGGTCTGGCCAGGCCCCTTCCTGGGTGCTGCTGCTCCCTCGTGGGAGACTCTGGAACAGGAAAGAGGTTCCTGGTGCCAGCTGCCCGTGCGGCGCGAGCTCATAAACGCCCCTTCCTGCCCACCAGGCAGGCAGGTGCCGGGCACCGTGGGCGTTTCTCCGAGTTCGTGGTCAGAAGACCCTCCAAACTCAGGGCGCTCGGCAGACACGGGGAAGGGGCCGGAGACACGGCAGGGTCGTACGCGCAGGGTCGGGCACTCCCCTCGCTCCCGTGTGACGGCGGGCAGCCCTGTGCTTCTCTGGAACCCGAAGGAGCAGGACGCAGGACACAGACTCGGCCAGCACACGGGACGCGTGCCATCCCAGGCTCCTATCCACTTCCTCATGTCCCAGCGTCCCAGCAGGGACCACTTGAGAACGTCGGCGGTGGCCTCGTGACGTTCTCCCAGCCACCCTCTGACCGGCGACCAACACTTGGGTCTTCGATTTTTCATCACAGCCAACGTAGCCACTCACGAACGTGCCTGACTTTTAAAATCCACTCTGGAAGTTTCTGCGGCGGAGAGAGGGGGGCCTCGCTCTGCACACACAACCCCCCCCCACCTGACCAGTTGTCACTGTGTGGTGGTGACGGGGTGACTTGCTCGAGTCACACGGCCCCTTTCCTTCCCCTCCGGTGTCACTCTGGCCTCCCTGCCGGAGGCACCCGCTGTGCGACCCTGCGGTGTGGGGAGTGCGTGGGGGGTCCTGTCGCCGCCCCCCGGGCCCCGCTGGAGTCCCGACGTGCAGACGGAAGAGGACACCTCCTTGTCCCGGGGAGTCACGTGGCCGAGTGTCACCACTGGGCGGAAGTGGAAATACGTGTCCCTAACGAGGGTGCGTCCCTGTCACCCGTTTGCTGCCAAACTCCCCCGCTCGTCCCTGGAGCGCCAGCCGGTCCCAGAGTCAGCCTGCGAGCAGACGGGACGGAGCGCCGTGGTGTTTAGAGAGGACGGCCCTGGAGGGTCCGACGGCGGGGCTCACGGCGCAGCTGCTGCGTGTGCTCCCCGCGCCGGAAGGTTCCTCCGTGCACGTGACCTTCGGGGCCGGCCGCCTCCCTCGGCTCTGCCCGCTTGTTCCTGCGGCTCAGCCTCGAAGGCAGCGCGGGCTCAGTGCCCCTCCCTCTGACGCCGCTCCAGCCCCCGAGGTCCCCTGCGCTCTGTCCTCGTGCATCCGGAACCTTCCCCTCCCCTCACCGCTCTCGCTGCCGGTCCCTCCCTCCAAGTGTCTCTGAAGACCCAGCTCTTCCCTCGCACTTCTCTGCCCTGCCCTCCCTCCCTTCCCCGGGGCCACTGCTCCGCTCCCAGCCTTTGGACGGAGCGCCTGCCGCGAGGGTTTCCCGCCCTTCCTGGTCTTCATCCCCGCGCCCCAGGCCCGAGACACGGCCCCTGGCAGCCCGTCCGCACGGCCTCCTCCTGCAGTTGCTCGGCAGATGCTTCTTCGCACGGGTCTGCAGGGGCCTTTTTCCTTCTCGCAGTGAAACAGGTTCGTTATTTGGATTGGCCGGCTGAGACGGCGCGGGCAGGCGCACGGGGGCCTTCCTCTGTGCAGGAGGCCCACTCAGGCGCCGACCGTGCCTAGGGCCTCCCTGGGGGGCCTGGTGCTCGCTGGCCCTGATGCCCACAGTGGACACCGGGCCGCCGTCTTCTGTCTTCCGCATGCGAGGCTGACCTGGCTGTCAGGGAGCCTGATGACGGCGGGGTGGGCAGAGTGGTTGGACCCCTTTTCCCAGGCGCCCAGCGGGCCACGGGAGGGCGGGCGGTGTGCACACCCATCGGTGAGGTGGGGCCAGGGCCCAGCAAGGCCCAGGCCCGTTAGGGCCGTGTGGCTGGCAGCACCGACAGTTCCCCGCAGTCACACTGTGTGGTCCGGAGTGTGGCCCTGCAAGCAGAGGCAGTCCGAGGTCCCGGGGGTGACGCTCTGGCGTTAGACCACGGCCGCTGCCGTGCGTCCCAACCCCGTCCCCGCCATGCGTCCCTGTCCTGAAGGGTGTCGGCCCCGTTACAGGTGTGGGTGCCTCTGCCCCCGGGCGCCAGGGACGGGGCCCTGCCGTCTGGTCCCGTGTCCTGGACAGGCCCCCGGGGACGGGGGTCTGAGCATTGCAAACGTGCCTCCTCCCCTCCGACGAGTCTAACGTGAGGCCGCTGGTGTCATGTTAACGCTGATAAACCAACTTGATCTCCCAATGTTTCATTTTCCGTCCCGGTGTGTCTTTACCACAGAGCCCTAGAGGTGCCGTTCTTGATCAAAAGGTGTTTCCAAGGCCGAGCCCCTTCCTGAAACGCGGGCGGGAAAAGCACCGTGTGCGCCGGCCGTGAGGGAGCCGCCTCCGTGGTTGTCCCGGACCACTCGGGGACGGGGATGGAGAAAACACCGAGAAAGACAAGCGCGACTCGACCTGGCGCAGGAAAGCCCACGTCTGCGTTTAAAACATTTGGAGCAGGAGGGGCAGGGGCTGCTGCGGCGTGCGTGCCACCAGCCGGGACGGGGAGGCCGCTGCGTCGAGCTGCCGCCTGGGCGTTGTCCACGTGACAACCGGCTGGCCCCGGGGGCCGGGCGTGTGGAGCAGGACCTGCACTTGGACTTCGGCCTCCGGTTCCCACCTCGCTCTTCCCAGGCCAGGACACCCCCTGAGGCTGCCACTCAGAGCGGAGCCCAGAGAACCGGAGACGGCCCCCCAACCCCGACCCCCAGCCACCTCAGCAGGAGCAGGAGCAGGTGCCGCGCCCTGCTCCTGCTCTGCTCGCTCCTGACAGGGCCGGGACAGCCGGCGCCTCCCCGCTCACTGTGCCTCCTCGCAAACCTGTAAGTGACGCGCCGGCGACCCCACGTCCTCGCCTCCGTCGACAGGGCCCTGGGTTTTCGCTTCCCCCAACGGGGCGCTCAGGTGCCGAGGGAGCCCCCGCCGACCCCTGGGGGAGGCCTGCGCCTCCTCACTCAGCCGACAGCCCGCCCATCGTAACCACCAGGTTCCCCGACATGCGGCCACGGCACCCCCACCCCACCTGAGGGTCTGAGGTTCGATTCCCAGGCAGGGCACAGGCCTGGGCTGTGGTCCAGGTCCCCACTAGGGGACACATGAGAGGCAACCACACATCGATGTTTCTCTCCCTCTCTTTCTCCCTCCCTTCCCCTGTGTAAAAATAAATAAGTCTTTAACAAAATCCTAAGGAAAACACTTTCATGGTATTTACTGCAAACAGCCTGAGCGTGACGGGCCCATGCAGTTCACACCTGCATCATTCAAGGGTCTGTGTCTGTCTGTCTGTTGGCTTATTTGGAAATAACGCATTTCACAGGCTTAGCATAGAGAACTCCTCAAGTCTCTTTTAGGTGAAAGAGCATGGTCCCAGGAATCTCAGTGCTGGCCTGGCCCACGCACCCCCATCTCCCCCCACCTGCCCCCCACTCACCTTCCCCCTCGTGCAGGGCCTTCTGGTCCCCCACGGCCTCGGGCACCAGCTTCCCGTACGAGTGTCCCTCACTGGAAGCGAACTTCGCCGTATCGAAGTAGACAGACCCGTTTGAAACGTAGCTGGAAAGCGAGGTGGGAACTAGGGTGAGTGCACTGGCTCAGAGTCAGCCCCGGGCCGTGCAGGACGGCGCCCCGAAAGCCCGCCCCGCCCCCCACCCCTGGCCCCGCCCTCTGTGCATCTGCCATGGATCACCAAACCCACGGTGCCGTGTGGGCTGAGCCCGACAGGACCAGGACACGCCACACGGCAGAGGCAGAGGCGGCGTGCCCCTCTGCACAGACCCCCTGCCTCGTGTCCTGGGAGCTCGCGGCTCCCGCCCTGGCCTCAGGGACAACCATGTCCTGGAGAGACAAACCCTGGCCTCTCTGTCCACATCGCAGGAGCCCGCGATGACCTGTCCTCTCGCCTGGGCCCGGCGCACGCACACCACTCCGTGTGCACACGTCTCGTGCTGCCCTGCCGTGACCGTGTGGCGTGGGCAGAGGGGGCGGCGTCCTCTGTCCCGGAGACCCCATGCTAACCCGGGCCCATGCCCACGGGGCCATGTTTGACTCTGAAGAGGCCATCGAGGGGAGACACGGCGGCTAGGCCGGACCCCGACCCAGTAAGACCAGTGCGTCCTGACAGGAGGAGACCGGGCCAAAGGGCAGACACAGGGCCCACACACACAGAGCCACATGGGGACGCAGCGATGGGCGGCCATCCGCAGGCCGGGGCGGGCGCCTGCGACAGGCCTCCCTCACGGCCCGAGGGGCCGGCCTGCTGACACAGAGGTGTCCGGGGTCTGCCTCTGTGACGGCGGCCTCAGGCCCCTGCACTGTGCTGCTGCCTGGGAAGCCCTCCAGGGGGCGCCATGCGGTCGAGCGGGGCGGCGGGCTCACCCATAGCCGTTGTCCACAATCCTCTGGACGAAGCTCACGATCTCCGGCACGTACTCACTGACCCGGGTCAGGGCGTCGGGAGGGAGCACCTGGGGAGGCAGAGACGCCTGGTGCCCCTCCGTCCCGTGCACACCCCTCCCCCGGCCCTGGCGGCAGGCAGCCCCCCGACACTCACGTTCAGGGCTTGCATGTCCTTGTGGAACTCCCCTTCCCAGAACGTGGGCAGCTCGGAGAAGATGGAGTTGTCGGCCACCTCGCTGCCGCGCGCGGAGTCCAGCCAGTCGGACAGCACGTCCCTGGCTTCCTCCAGCAGCACCTGCCGGGGGAGGCGGAGACCGTCTGCCCGAGCCCACCAGGGTGACGGGGTCGCCTCAGGCGAGCCGGCCCGCGCCCACGGAAGGGGCACCGAACACATCCCTGACCCATGTGGCCGCACCTCCCGGAGCCCGCAATGCTCATGGATGGCTCAGCACCCAGACAACATGGGTCCCGAGAGTGAGGGGCTCAGAGGCGCCCCATGTGCCGGAGCTCCCACCACTGTGGAGGGGACCGGGGGGCGGGGGGGGTGCATGTGCTGGGCAGTCACGGTCCAGGGCGGGAGCACACGTGGGCCCGGCACGCATGCACGTCGGACAGGAGACGTGTCCGTCTGCGACAGGGTGTCAGGGCTGCGGCCTGAGCCCTGTCGGCTGGGGAGCCTGCCGTCTGCCTTGAAGAGTCTAGTCCGTGCAGGTGAACTGGAGCCGTGCCAGGGACGTGGAGACGGGCCGGTCACACGGGGGCGGGACGCAGGAACCAAGGGTGGAGGGAGGAAGTACAGGAGACGGGCAGACAAGAACGGCGGGAGAGGGGTGGCGTTCACACGCCAGGACGCTGACGGCAGGGTCGGCCAGGGCGCGCTGGGCTTGCGGGTGCCACGGAAATGGTGCCGGGACGCCCCCTGCCCCTCCCCCCAGGCTGGCGCCCCGGTGGGCAAGCTGAAGACACAGGGCCCCTGGGAGGCCCAGGCTGTTGGGCCTGCGGCCGGAAGGTGAGTGAGGAACCCAGCCTATGGTGGGGGGTTGGTGAAGGGAGGGAGAGCGCCCATGGGGCCACACCCCTGGCCCCAGGGAGGCCGATGTCACCCCCAGGCAGGCAGCCGTGTCTCCAGCCCCGGGGTCAGCACAGGCCGGGAGCCGGGGTGAGCCCCAGCCCCGGCCCCGGGCGCAGGCCCCGCACAGAAAACACCTGAGAGCGGGGCCTGCAGAGACGGCCTCGGACGGGCATGGGCCGGGCCCCGGGTACCAAGCGACAGGGGCCGAGGCCTGACGGAGGAGGACCGGAGGAAGCCGGCGTCCGGAACGGAGACACGTCAGCCCGTGGAACAGAACTCGCGCGGGGCGGGCAAGGGGGCGGAACAGGAGGACGGCCTGAAGAAGTCGCCCAGAACGAAGCAGGGTGGGGAGGGACACCTGGGGACAGGTGACAGACGCAGGGGAGCGAGCAGAGCTGCGGCTTACAGCCAGTGGGATCCTGGTGGGCAGGAGAGGGGGGCAGAGCGGCGGTCCTTGACAACGTCTCCAGAATTTTCCAGAACTGAGGCAACACGCCGCAGATGCACAGCACAAAAAAGACCCCAGAGGACAAGTGGGGGAAAAAAAAAACCCTTACAAAGTCTTGATGCAACAGCAGAAAACGAGAACTTTTTACAAGAAGCCGAGAGAAGAGGCTCGTTCACCTCGGAGAGAAAGGCAACTGGAAGGGCAGGAGCCTCCCCCAGCGGCGGTGGTGGGGGGAGGCCAGCGGGGCACCAGCCCACGGGGCCGAGGAAGCAGCTGTGGATCTCAGCCCCGGGACCAGCGAAGCCCACTTCGAAGGGGAAACGAGCCCACTCCTAGCTACACCAGGACCGAGCTCCACCTGCACCTCGAAGGCCTGCCCAAGGTCAGCCCCGAGGTCAGCCCCGCGGCCGCAGGCGTCTCCTGGACGGGTCTGAACACAGCAGGTCTGCAGGTGCCCTGCCCGCAGCGCGCTCTCCAGGCGACTGATTCTCGGATCCCGGACAGTCTGGGCGACACCGGAATCTGGTCCGTTTCCAGTGGGGCGACACCCACGTGTGGCCAGAAGCCCTGTGGCGGGAGTGCAGGGCGGCTGCTGGAAACCCGGAGCCCCAGGCCCGCCAACACCCGCGTCTGAACGGGGGGAGTGACGCCACGGGCTGGGACAGCGACAGTGAACACACCGCCCTGAAAACACGGTGTGGGAACCAGGGGCCTCGGTCAAGTTCAAGGGCTCTCAGGTCCTCCGCGGCCCGGGAAAGGGGACGCAGTCCCGAGTGGGAGGCACGCGGGAGGAGACCAGAACTAGGATGTCCCGCCCAGCAGAGCCGAGAAGGTGACCGACCGATGAGAGAGACCAGGAGGGGTTTAAATCTCAGCGGGAACACAGGACTGAGACCCAGAGGCGAAGTCGGACGACAGAAGCAGCTCGTTCAGACCACGGTCCCGAGTCCCCAGGCAATGACACATCGCACGGCTGGCTCCCAAGCACATGCTCCGGCCGCCGCCCGCCCGCTGGCCACGCCGCACGCCTGCGGACTTGACCCGACAGCGGGCAGCAGGCCGGGCCCCCAGCTCGCAGGGACGCTCAGCAGGACCAGCCGCGACCGGCCCGGAGACGACGCAGAGACGTGGCTGGGAAGTCCCCGAGTCATGACACTGACCCGCACACCTGGACATGGCACCGGGCTGCTGAAGGAAAATTCTAAAATACCTTCCAGTATTCACATTTGTAACATGGACGGATGTATTAGCAGAATATGTAAAACCCATCACCTTAAGCTTCCACCTTAGGAAATTAGAAAAAGAAGAAACTAAATCCAAAGTAGGCAGAAGAAAATAATGAAGTTTGACGCAGAAAACAAGAAATCATCAGAGAAAATCAACAGAAGCAAAAGCTGGTTCTTTGAAGGCAGTGAAATCGTTGAGCTTCCGGCCGGCTCTGCCCAAGAGAGAGGACACAGACGCTGCAGTAGCACCAGAAGCGAGAGAGGGGGCGCCACCGCAGGTCTCGGCACCACTAGACGGGTAATGAAGGGACGTCGCGAAACAGCTGTGTGCCCAGCATTCCACAAGCTACGCTAACGCACTGAGTTTTTGAATGAAGTGAGCCTCCAAACTCACACAAGATAACACAATCGGAAGAAGTCTGTCAAGGAGCCGGAATCAGTAACTAACGACCTCCCGAACGAGAGAGCACCGGGCCCAGGCGCACTGGTGACGCCCACCGAACGTCGGAGAAAGAAACGACACCTCCTCCCCGCAGCCCCTTGCCGGGCACGGAGGACGCTCCCCGACCTGCCCCGTGAGGCCCAGGGCAGACAGAGGCAGCACGGGGAACCCCTCGCCGGCACGCCGCCTGGCCTGCACGCCATCTGGCTGACACGCCATGAAGAGGGGGTCTTGCTGCCCATAGCTGTGAGGGTGGCCTGCCCCGGGCGGCTGCACCTCAGGGCTCACCGGAGGGAAAGTGAGCGCCCGACCTTCTCCGGGGGGTCAGGAGGAGCACACCCCAGCCACCTGCCGTGTGCGGACACCAGGGGGCAGACCCGCTGGGTGCGCTCTCTCTGTGGGTGTCCCAGGTTCATGGGGTTTGGCAAGGGTGGCCAGCAGGGGGTGCTGGTGTAAAGAAGGGCCATCAGGTGGCTCTGATGGCCAACTGCAGGGTGACAGGTGGGCAGGGGTGACAGGGGACGGCTGCAGCCCTGTGTGGTGTGGGAGAGCCGGGAAAAGAGGCCCAGGACCCCCGGGTGGCCGTGTCCCCACTCCGTCCGCAGTGGGGCCTCTCCAGAGGTGGACACACTGGCCTGGGGTGCCGGGGGGCCCCACAGGTCTTGGCCACTCCAGTCCCTCGCGCCTCTTTCTCCAGGCGCTGCCCTTAAGAGCAGCTGGGGAGCCCACCGGACACTTGTGGGGTAATCTAGAGGGAGGGCTGCCCCCACACGTTCCAGGCGGGCCTCCTGCTTGCCCAAGGGGAGGGCTGGAAGGGGGGGGCAGCCCAGGTCTCACTGCAGGAAGTGGGGCAGGAGGATGGGGGGGGCAGGCGGAGCTGGGACAGGGGCATCAGACCCCAGTGGCGAGCCCTGCAGGGCCAAGGCCTGGCCGGCCCCGCTCACCTGCGCACGGCTGTCCACGTCCCCCGCGGCGAGGCCGGCCTGCAGCGCTCTCTCCAGCGGCTCCACCGCGAGCCGCACGGCCTGCAGGCTGCGCTCCAGCATCTGCCTCTTGTCGGGGTCCGTGGTCTCGCTGAGTTTCGCTGAGAACGGCTGCAACCGGGAGGGGCGGGCAGGCCCGTGAGCCACGGCCCTCCCCCCACCCCCCCGTCCACGAGGGCACTCGGCCCGGGGGGACCAGTCTGCCCCGCTGTCCGTGTCCCCAAGAGCGTCATCCCAGCTTCCCCAGGTGCAGGCGGGGCAGGAGCGGGGAGCCCGAGGCCCAGGCCCAGGCCATCCTGGGGCTGCCACGCCCCGCAGGCCTTGGGCCAAGCTGCGCCCCACGACTGTGCGCCTGACGTGGAATGTGGCGTGAAAGCACGTCACCTAGGGCCATGCTGGGCGTGACACAGGCATCACCTAGGGACACAGGAGGTCCCACCGGCCACCTCATCACGAAGGTGCCCATAGCAAAGGGGGCCTTCCCCTGGCCGGCCCGAAGGACCACTAAGCTCTACTCTCACTCCATTTCCTCTTCCAGAACAAATGGCACGAGCGCACCAGCAATGACGACTGCCGTCAGCAACGACAGTGACTCTCAGGACAAAACGACCTTCGCCAACCCCCCAGGCAACGCACCAGCGTGCAGCACCGCTTGCTCCAAACTGGACGTCAGAGGGAGCAGCCCGTCTCGCCGAGCAGCCCTGCGGAGCCCGGGCAGCACAGCCGGGGGGCCTGGCCGGCCCCTGCATGGCGGCCAGGGCAGCCGATGGGCTGTGACCAGGCAGGGAGGGTCCGGCAGCCACGGCAGGAGCCGTTTACGAGGAGGTGTGGGCCGGCGGCGCGCCGGTGCACCCCGACATCTCCCACCCGTGGACCAACGGCCACCGGCGCCGCCCCCATCCGCACGCATCTGTCCTGGCGGCTGAGCCTGCCGACCCCGCGGGCCTGGCCCCCCCACCGTGTGCACGGACAGCCCTGCTCCAGGCCAGGGGCGCGAGGACGGCCACGGGCCCCGACCAGGCGCGGAGCAGACCCACCTGCAGGGCAGCACGGACGTCCTCCAGGAGCCGGGCCGCGGACGGCTGTTCCTCCCGATACCGCTCGAACAGGTGGTTCTGCCGGGCCCTCTTGATGATCTGGGGGGAGAGCAGGGTTAGGGTTAGGGTTAGGGTGAGGGGTTAGGGGTTAGGGTGAGGATTAGGGCCCGCTGAGCCCCGAGCATCGCTGCGCAGCAGGAGCTCGCTGCGTGGGGACGACTGCACCCCAGGGCACGCCGCCGGGAACCCCCACACACCCGCCGCCTCCCAACTGCTGAGCCCAGCCTGGGCCTACGTGGCCTCTCTGCTGCTGAGGAAAGCAGCAGACCCCGGCGCCCCCCACGGCGCCACACGCCAGGCCCTCCGTGATCACGTGGTCAGCAGGCAGCTGGACACGCCGCTTTCCACCAGCATCCACACGTCTGAATACAAGAGGCCATCGTCCGCAGGAACTGGGACCCCGGCCCATCAAGGGGTCGGATTCCCGTCCTGAGGGTGAGGCCTGAGCCGGCCAGGCCTCCCGAAGTTCGTTTACCAATCCCAAGGTCAATTGTTTCCTTTTGTTTTTCAAAGATTTTTATTTATTTGAGGGGAAGGGAGAGAGAAATAGAAGGACAGAAACAGCAATGTGTGGTTGCCTCTCACACGCCCCCTACTGGGGACCTGGCCCGAAACCCAGGCATGTGCCCTGACCGGGAATCGAACCGGCGACCCCTTGGTTCCCAGGCCGGCGCTCAGCCCACTGAGCCACACCAGCCGGGGCCCAGAGTCGTTTCTCCCAGGCGCCGTCTTGGAAGCCCCCACCTTGTCGTCGATGTCCGTGATGTTCATGCAGTAGAAGACGTCGAAGCCGAAGTAGCCCCTCAGCACACGCCGCAGGATGTCGAAGGAGATGTAGGACCTGGAGGGGAGGGGGGGAAGGGCAGGCCTCTCCTCCGGCGCGGCGCACACGGTCTCGGCGGCAAGGAGCCGGTCCCCCCGCAGCCCCGCGGCCCGCCGCCCCCACGGGCCACACCCTGAGGCTGCCGTGGGCCGCCTGGCCGCGGGCCCGGGCGTCCGGGACACGGGGCGCCCGGCCCCCCGCAGAGGCGTGGGCTGCGGGGAGCCTCTAAGCGCACGCACGGCAGCCCTGCCCGGGGGACGCTCAGGCCGCAGGCAACGGGCCGAGGCGCGGGCTTCTCCGTGGGACCCGGGCTGCCTGACGCTTCTGGGGCTGCGATGCTGACGGGAGGGGGAAGGTGCGGGCTGACTCTCCTTTCACACGCCAGCGGCCAGGGGCCGGCAGCAGACCGGGGGCCCCGCGCGGCGCCCTACCTGGCGTGCCCCATGTGAGAGGCGTCGTACACGGTGGGCCCGCAGCAGTACCACGTCACTCTCCTCCCGTTTTGGGGAACAAACACCTCCTTCGTGAGAGACGAGGCGACAGTCACGAGAAATGCCGCGGCGTGCAGGACCCCCCGAGCCAGCCATGCCCGGCACGCCACCATTTGTTTGCTTTAGGCCAAATTCAACGAGCACCGTGTTGTCCGAAAAAGCGACAAAGCCCAGGGGGAGGGGGAGTTCACTGGGTTCCCGAAGGCACCCTCCCAGAAACCGAGGAGCCCTGGGTGCCCGGGCTCCCTCCTCCCCGGATTCCACGCGTCCCCGGAGGCGGGCGGTGGAGCAAACGAGCGCTCGCCCCTGTTGAAAGGCCGCTGCCGCACCCATGACGGCTGGCAAGTACGGGGTGCCCGCTGGGTGCCCGGCATGCGCCGAGGCTCTGATGGACCCGGGTCTGCCCCCAGAAACAATCTGGGGGCGGAGGGGGCAGGGGTGCTAGTCTCCTGTCACAGCGCAGATGCGGGTTTCCAGCACTGCCCAGGGTCCGCAGCCCTGGAGGAGCCGGCTTACAGGCCGGACCACCCGAATCAAGCCTGTGCCGGCCGCTCCGCCCCCCACCCGCCGAATGGTCCCGCAGTCGCAGACCAGCTGGGGGCTGCCGTCACCCACGGAGTCCGCCAGGGAGCCCCTGTCCGCTAAGCGTGCTCGCCAACGGAGACCCCGCCAGCCCGCACCGCCGGCCGCTGGCCGAGCCGAGCAAACCCCCTCTGGTCTCCCGGCAGCACCTCTCGCCTCGCTCTGCGTGTCTGGCCGGGCACCCACCGGGACGTCTCCTGTCACCGTGGGCCCTTGTCAGAAGCGGGCCGACACTCGGCCCGGCTCTGAGCGACCGTGATCGCTTGCGCCTGGGCCGGGCCCAAGAGCCACTTGGGGACCCCACACCGACAGGCCGGCAGGCAGGGTTTCAGACACGGCTCCGCCCGGGCCACGCACACAGAGCTCACGCGGGCAGCTCAGGGGCCACACCTGCATTCTCGGAACCCTGGCGCTTGCCAGAACCGACAGCGGCAGCTCAGCGCTGCGGCAGGGCCCCGGGGCTCCTGCAGAGCCGGCCCGGCCCACCCCGGGGCCCCTCCTGACCTTGCTCCGGGTGAGGCTGTTGTACAGGCGCAGCTTGCAGGGCTCCGACCCGGCCGGAGGGGACCATGCGGGCTGCTCCCGCCGGCCTCTACCTGCAGGGCAGAGACAGCAGCCGGGTCACTGGGCGGCCGGAGGCCTCGTTCTCACACGGAGACGGGGCGCTGAACAGGACCCCCCCGAGACCGAGCTCGCCGGCACCCCCACGCCTGACCGACTGCCACTTCTCCGTTCAGCCTCGCTCACCGTCTGGGCCGCGGCGAACCCCCCGCCACCCCACGGCCCTCCACACACGTGTCCTGCTCACACGCGTCGGCACCCGACACGGCTCGTGGGTCAGGAACCGGTGCGGGCCCTGCAAACACGCGGCCGCACGTCAGACCGCAGCGCAGTGTGTGCCGTAGGTGCCCGCCCCGCCCCGGGCAGACAGCTGCCCTGGACACTTGTGGGGACGGCGCCGGCAGTGGGAGCCGGGCCAGGACGGGCCAGCTGCTCGCCCTCGTCCCTGTGGGACACGCGCCAGGGAGCAGCGGCCCCCCACCCCGACCCCGGTGTCTGCCCCGCGGCCAACAGGGCTGTGACGGAACACTTGTGGCTTCCAGCTCCCGGGGCTCCTGGCCGCCGGGGGGACAGGCCAGGGCCATCCCCGAGCGGGGCTCAGGGAGTTGCACCCAGCACGGCCCCCCACTCCCCACCACCACCCCCGCTCCTTCCCAGCCTCCCGGGCCGGCCGTGTGCACGCCGCCACCTGGAGTCTTAGGCGGCCCCTCTGCTCAGTGCCCAGGCCCGTGCTTCCCGCCGGGAACAGGGGACCCGCTCCCCACGCACCTGCGCTCTGAGAACCTCGAATGCCCGGCCTAGGGCCAGGAGTTACCTCAAAGGTGATTACAGCCCGGGGGCGTCCGGTGACAGCCAGCCACCCCCAGCTGCCCCTCAGTCCTCTACCTACCCCCCACCTTCCCGACCAGCCACCCAACCGCCCTCTCCCCACCCCCGCCTGCCTCTGCCCGTCTTGGCAAAGGGCTCTCTCAGGCCACCGGCCTGCCGACAGCGACGCCGCGCAGGCCTCCCTGGAATGGACGTGAGGTGGCCAACGGGCCCCCACGGGCGGCTTCCCCCGGGAGCCCAGGGAAGTCCGTGCGGGCCCAGCACCTGCCCGTGGTCACATCAGCCGCACGGAGGGCCAGAGGAGGGCCAGGCCGGGAGGAGGAGGAAGGCGGCGGTGCGTGCGTGTGTGCATGTGTGTGCACGGCGGGGAGGGGAGAGGGCGGCCTCGGAGACAGACAGACAGACAGACAGACAGCGCCGAGCAGGAGCTCCCCGCCCTGGGGGGTGGCAGCGAGCTGGCAGGTGCCGCAAACGCTCACCACGGTCGCTCGGGAGGGCGCCTCCTCGGTCACCGAGAACGCGCCGGGCCCCGCGCGGCTGCACGGCGGCTGCGTGGCGCTCGAGCTCCCCCGCCCCGGCAGTCCCGGGAGGACGGCAGCGAGTGGTGCATCCGTGAGGACCGGGGGCCCGCAGGGCTCTCCACGCGGACGGGGCATCACGGCCGGCGAAGGCCCTGCTAGGCAGGAAGGGCCGGGGGTCCCGGGGCTGGGGGCTTGCCCGAGAAGACTCGTGAGAGCTGGCGACAGGACGCAGCTGCGGGCACAGCCCAGGGACCGCAGCCAGCCAGCGGGACACCGGGTCACACCTGGGGCGCTCGAGCGCCCCACAGGGGGGCCGTGCCGCACTGCTGCCCACAGGCCCAAGGAGGCCCGGCTCGCACAGGCCCGAGGCCTGCCCCGGCCTGGCTCACAGACACTTGCGTCCCCGTCCTTCCCCGTGGGCCTCACCCGTTGGGACCGAGTCCCCTCCCACTGCACTGACTCCTGCTGTGCCCACGTTCCAGGAAGGGACTGAGGCAGCGCCAGGGTCTCACTTCCGTGTCCCAAGGGCCCACAGGCTGTGGCCGGGGGGAGAGGACACGGGAGAGGCACAGGGGCTTGGCCCGGGGGCTCTATTACAGGGAGGACAGTGACAAGTGACGACGTCTGGTGCCGGAGGCCTGCCCGGCAGGAGCAGGGACTGGGGGGAGGCGGGTGGGGCGCAGGGGCGCGAGGGGCCGGAAGGCTCCTGCCCAGGATGGGCGCCAGGGCCCTCGGAGACGGGCAGCCGCTCGATCGTGGCAGCACCAGGGACTCCGAGGGTTCTGGGACCTGCTGGAGGCCACGGGCAGACGGACGGGGGGCAGCTAGGGCCCAGCCCCGGCTCCCAGGTTTGCAATCCATCCCCAGGGCCCCAGCTGGCATCAGGGACGGGACGTGGAAATGGGGGGGGGCAGGAAACTGCCACCAGGGCGCCCAGGGCGCTTCCTCCCGAGTCCGACCCAGCCTAGCGCAGGCTTGCTCGCTGCAGGGTGCCGCTGGCCCCGAGCGCCCTCCTGTCCCAGCCCCGGAGGACGCAGGGCCCCGCCTGCCCTGTGTTTCAGCCTGGATGGCGTCACTGCCTGAGCTGTGTTCTCACCAGTTCGCTCGGTGGCACCCGCCCAGGCCACACCTCGGGCGCCGGGGCCCGGGGACACCCTGACTGGGCCCCTGGAGAAACAGTTGGAGACTGTGGATGCCGCCTGGGTCACGGTGCTGGGCGCACAGGAAGGAGAGGCCTGCAGGGCACCGCTCCCACCGGGTGCTGGGGAGGGGGGCTTGCACGGGGTTACCCAGAGCCCCTCCCCCACAGTGCCGCACCCCGTCCGTTGCAGGCGGACCAGGCCAGGGTGCAGGAGCGCGGACAGCCCAGCACCCTCAAAGGAGTCCGGGGAAGCCCCCAAGGGGCCAGCAGAGGCAGCAGGCGGCCCGGGCCCGCCCCTCCTGTGAACGAGGGGGAGGGGCGCCCCGGAAATAACCGAGGCCACACTGCCGTGGGAGTACCGGCACCGACGGGCTGCTTTCACCTCCAAGCCGACAAAGGACTTATTTCTGATTTTCAACACGTTCAACGTCACTCACTCCTGCTTTCGGACCTGACCCTTCTGAACCGGGCGGGCAGCCGCCCTGCACCACAGGGAAGGACGGGGAGGAAGAACCCAGCCGGGCCGGGCGGGCAAGGCAGGAGCTCAAAACGCCCGCCTGGACGCCTGGACCCGAGGCCCCCCGAGCTCAGGTGTCTGCGCCGGCCTGGCGGGCTCCATCCCAAACTCCACTCAGGACGTGCTGGCCGGCCGCCAGGCCACCTGCTCACACGCAGTGACCGGAGCCAGCCCCGTGGGCTCCTCCGGGTCTCCGTGGCCAACTACCGCTGACGCCGGGCCCTGACCTTGGAGGTGGCCACGGCCGGGGGAGGTGCTCCCGGCCCGGACCCCCGCCCTGCTACTCACTTGCTTGAAGCCCGCTGGGCCCGCCTCCGCTGCGGGGTGCCCGGGACGGCTGCTGCGTGCCTGAGCCATGGGGCCACGTGGCGGAGACCTGCGTCCGCAGGAGGGGACGAGAGCCGCCCGAACGCACCCTCGTCTACAGGGACGGGGAGCGGCCCTGCAGGTGGCCTCGCGCTCAGGTGCTGCTTCAGGGCCCGCACCCCGGCCTCGCGTCGCTGATGCCGGGTGGCCCGGTAGTGCGGAGCCCCGGGGACAGAGGCACAGAGGCACAGGAAGTCCCGCGCGGCAGAGAGCGGACACCCCTTCCCAGAGCTGAGCCGACCAGAGCCCGCAGACCCGCCGACCGCTGGGTGCCTGGGGGTGGGGTCGCTGCTGATGGGGTGTTCGAATGTTTCTGGTTGTTGCTGCTTTGACTGTCGTCACTTACTTTTCTTAAGTATACGTTACAGATCATGCTGTGACAGCCGTCCCGTTTTTTCTCCCCTTTCTCCCCCTCTGCTCTCCACCCCCTCCCACCAGCATCCCCCCCCACCCCTTAGTTCATGTCCCTGGGTCGTACGTACAAGTTCTTTGGCTTCTCCGTTTCCCACACTGTTCTTACCTCCTCTACCTTCTACTGACCATCTGTGCTTCTCATTCCCTGTACCTTTGCCCCTCCCCCTCCCCTCCCCCTCCCCGCTGCTAACCCTCCATGGGATCTCCATTTCTGTGATTCTGCTCCTGTTCTAGTTGTTTGCTTCGTTTGTTTTTGTTTTTAGGTTCAGTTTTTAATAGTTGGGAGTTTGTTGTCATTTTACTGTTCCTACTTTTTATCTTCTTCTTTTTCTTAGATAAGTCCCTTTAACATTTCATAAAATAAGGGCTTGGTGATAATGAACTCCTTTAACTTGACCTTATCTGAGAAGCACTCTATCTGCCCTTCCATTCTAAATGAGAGCTTTGCTGGGTAGAGTAATCTGGGATGTAGATCCTTGCCTTTCATGACTTGGAATACTTCTTTCCAGCCCTTTCTTGCCTGCAAGGTCTCTTTTGAGAAATCAGCTGACAGTCTGATGGGAACCCCTTTGTAGGTAACTGTCTCCTTTTCTCTTGCCCCTTTTAAGATTCTCTCCTTCTCTTTAATCTTGGGTAATGTAATTATGATGTGCCTTGGTGTGTGCTTCCTTGAGTGCAACTTCTTTGGGACTCTCTGAGCTTCCAATACTTCCTGGAAAGCTATTTCCTTCACCAGATTGGGGAAGTTCTCCTTCATTATTTGTTCAAATAAGTTTTCGACTTCTTGCTCTTCCTCTTCTCCTTCTGGCAGCCCTATGACTGGGATGTTGAAACGTTTAAAGTTGTCCCAGAGGTTCCTAAGCCTCTTCTCATTTTTCTGAAATCTTGTTTCTTCTTTCTGTTCTGGTCGAATGTTTATTTCTTCCTTCTGCTCCAAATTATTGATTTAAGTCCTGGTTTCCTTCCCATCACTGTTGGTTCCCTGTACATTTTCCTTTATTTCACCTTTTCCTCTATGTTGCGACCATGCTCAACCAATTCTGTGAGCATCCTGATTATCAGTGTTTTCAACTCTGCATCTGATAGGTTGGCTATCTCTCCCTCGCTTAGTTCTTTTTCTGGAATTTGATCTGTTCTTTCATTCGGGCCATATTTTTATTGTCTAGACGGGCCTGTTCCATAGTGAGGGGCGGAGCCTTAGGTGTTCCCCAGGGCGGGGCAACTCACGTCCTTGCGTTGTGGTGCCGT